GCCTCGCACAACCACTCTGTGGAACCAGCTGCCGCCGGCGGTCCTTCCGAACCGTTACGACCTGGGAACCTTCAAGAATAGAGCGTACTCTTTCCTAAAAGCCGCTCAAAAGAGCTGATGAAGCTGAACCCAATGCGAAACGTACGCAGCGAAAACGGTTGGTTATGGTATGGTACACAGAGCGCCAACTTTCTCTCGGCTGAAACTAATTAGACAGAAGTTACAACAATTGCATGGAGCGGGAAGAGAGGCGGGCGGGGAGGGGGGGGGGGGGGCGTTTCCGACAATAACACCGCGATCAAAGTTGCCACCACGCATTTCGCGCGTCGCGGGGTTGGCTTTGGAACCGTGTGCGAAAAAAAAATGAATGAAGTCGCTGCGTTACAGAACGCGCCCGGAAAGTTTCGTCGCGGTTAATCGTGAAACCAGCATTATTCTGGTTCCAACGAACTGCGGCCGGGTTAAGCCATTTTCGGAACGCAAATCGACCTTGGGAACGAAAAGGTGGTAAATTTAACTAAAGATATTTTATTATTATTATTTTATTATAAATGTCCTTTAATCACGTCCATCACCAAATATCGTACATTTTGTGGGTATCGTGCCATGGTCAAGAATTTTTAAAAGCATACGAACGATAGTTTGCTCATTTTTGTGATGGTCTCACTTCTAAACGATTTGATCGGTCAATGTGCATTGAAATTTTTATATTTTTATATTTGACGAGGAATAGGATGGTCTAAGCAGTAAATTTTTTGACCAGACAAACAATAATGACATAATTACAGAAGATCGGCGAATAGATGGATATAGCAATAGTACAGTAATTTGTTAACTAACGAGGAACTTTTGCCTCGACAACGCACTATTATATTTGCTTCTACAATTAATATTTCTTTGTGACGTGTGTAAAGTTCTTACGGCAATCTTTTAAGTTTTCACGAGTTTTAACGTTAACGTAAAATTATGTATATAATTCCATCTGCTGTTCAAACTTCGGGTCCATGGGGTCCGCGTACATCGAAAGTTTTGAAAGGCCTACGCCCTAGGCTTAACGCCGCGGCCGGTGACAAGAGAACGGGTTCTTTCTCGCTCAAAGGTTAAAGCATAACTATTCAGCGAGGGAATGCAGCGTTCGTGGCGCCACGTTTTGTGGGCTAGATATGTTAAATAATATGTTGTTTTAGATAGACTAAATGTTGTAAATGTTGGATATTTAATTGTATAATTAAGAAAAGACAACTTTTCTGTAGTCCATACGAAAAGTTGGCAAGCGAGCAGGCGGTATACTTGATGTTAAGTGATTACCACCGTACATGGACATCTAGAACACACATGTAGATGGATCGCGGGTGTGTTTCCAACACCATAGAATAAGGTCACGAGATCATATTTCTCGTAACATAACTCGCCCTGCAAATGACCCTTATTTGTTGACTAAGGTTTCCGCTCCGTTTATTAATAATAATGGTGTCATTTTGTAAGTGAGAACAATATGGAATTGTAAACTAATTTAGGGAATGGGATCCTGCATTTTATGTGATTGGTGTAGATTCAGAAGAATTTATCTCTTTTTTTATAATTATCTACATATTTTTGGTAGTATATAGGTGGTATTAGTTGGGGGGATTTATTCAATTATTTGAAGTTATTGCATATTAAGGTGTATGAAAAAGTTTACGGAGGTCCTCAGAAATTCTACGCTTTTTTTGGCGCTAAGCGGCGAAATAATGCTGTTTCATTATTTCCGCATTATTCATACCCTCTGTATAGAGGGGGCCTTTGCCCAGCAGTGGGACATGTATAGGCTGTTACTTTACTTTTTTTTATTTCCACGTCCTAAAAATAGCTACTACCGTGTGAGTGGTAAAAGTTCTATTTTGCATTTTGAAAATAATGAAACCAAACGGTTTTATTATTTAAACATTTTGACAAAGTTTGTAGCAAATGTGTATATGTCAATACCATTCTTTTAAACGTTCAATAAAAATAAAAGCCGAAGTTCAGAACAGACTGGTAATAGAAAACGACAAGGAAAACACCAGCACGCTGATTGGTAAAGAAGCTGTGGCGGTGTGCGCTGAAACTTCGAATAAAATGTATTATTATAATCACGATACTGCCAATGGAAAAATAAAACTAGATTGTAAAGCTTTTATCGGAGGCTCGAATAGATTGGAAACATTAAGCGATACCCCGGTTCCAGGACTGCACTTGAAAAATAAATTTCCAATAACTTTTCCAATGACGTTCGAGAGCGGTGATTTTCAATTAAATAGAAACGTGGCGATCGACGGACGTAATTTAATTAATTACGAACATTTCGGACGCCCGGCGCCGTAAAAAATATGGTTTCGGAGAAACGAGAAATATTTCCACAATGGGAAATATTTTACGGCTGCACAGTCCGCGGGTGCCCTGATTAACTGTAAAAAGTATGCGATGTGACCCAAATATAAAACGACCGTATCACTCGGTAGAAAAAGGCCGCCTTCCGTGTGGGGAAACTTTAAAAAAGAAATAAATTGGAGCGCCTAGGAGTTGGCGACGCGGCATTTCGGCGTGTGTGCCTTTGACGTGTGGCGGAGTGCCCTAAATAGCGGAATAAGTAGCTATGCTACATTCAACAACGACAGCTTTGTAAAGTACTTCTAAGTTACACCTCCGCGCTCCACTTTGACGGAACTTTCACGCGCGTGTTTCGCTAAATAAAAATTCTTTGGACGCGCCGAGAGGGCGTCTCATAATATCGCCGGGTTATATTAGATTTGGAAACGTGAAATTGACGCGTCAGCTCTTCGACGTGGCTAGGTACGGGAGAACTACTGGTGCACAGTGAAAATAGCGCAAATTAGCTGGCTAACTGAATGTAGCATTTGAGTAATTTACAATCCGGCCTAGAGAGGGCTCGAGAGCGGTAGCGACGAGAGCAGGGGTAGATAGAGCAGGCTTTCCTTTGTCGCGGCGACACTCGGCCAGCCCGGAGGGTCGCGCCACGCACTAAATGCTAGTGCCATTGCACTTTTTAATTTAATTTCGCTCGAGTATGTTTTTTTTTTTTTGCAGTTCTACCATTTCACCCGGAAACTGCAAGAAGCACTTCTGGGATATAATTAATATAGTCAGAAGCAGCATGTATGATTTTGCATACATGTCGCTCATTAGCACACACGGCTGATGTGAGTGTGATCGAAAATCATGTGCTCTTATTCGATGCGTTCGCATAATTTCACGTAGAACCTGCATATTTTATGATGAACCCTTTAAGGGGAATAGTGCGGCTGAAATATCTTGGCCAACTTTGAAATGTTACCGAAAACAACTCCTCAGCGTTCGGAGTGGATTATAACTAAACAAGCGGGACGACGTCCCTCAATAGCGTTGCAATATAGTCGTAACTAGTGACCCGCCCCGGCTACGCACGGGTGCAATGTATTATACATATAAACCTTCCTCTTGAATCACTCTATCTAGTAAAAAAAACCGCATAAAGATCCGTTGCGTAGTTTTAAAGATTTAAGCATACATACGGACAGACAGACAGCGGGACGACTTTGTTTTATACTATATAATGATAGCGAGGCAGTTATAACCGGCAAAAAAGGCTCGTTATAAAATAAACACAAAAGGTAAGAAGCACCGATCCAACACGAGTGGCGGGCCCCGCGATAAAGGCTTAAGACATGCCACTGTTTACTTTGTCATATCACATGACTAGACGCGGACAGTTTCCAATACTTCCAGGTAGGGCTCGACGACCAGTCAAACAATCAACTCGACAGTCAATATACACATTGTTTTGTATGCCCCCCGAACAGGTTCTGCTACCAAACATAAATCACTCTAGGGCTGTCACTGCCACTGTCGTCAAATCGTTCAATTGCCTTATTGAAGTTTAACTTAATTATTTCACAAGAAATGTACTGCAAGCGAGGTATCGCAACAATCTCATAAGTTGAAAGAGATTTCGGGACAAACGATAATAATTTCTTTTGTAAGACTCACAGACGAAACACTCAGATAAACGAAGACACTCAGACGAAACGAAAAAACACAACACATCCGCTTCTTCCTCTTATGAGATAGTGGTACTTACTTCCCTGATGGACCTGCAATATTACGCTTTAACTAGACGTCTCAGCAGCAGCCCTGCGCGGCGAACTCACTTACCTTTGTTCCAGCGCTGATTTCTAAACAAAGTCTACTTTATTGTAGCCAACTTACCTGAAACAAGAGATTTTTGAATTAAAATCATTAATAACAAAGTGGGCAGGGAAAAAAAACATAACAGCGGCCGGTTATTGTGTAAAGCGGAGGCGGGAAAAGGGCGGGAGGGGGGGGGGGGTATTTATAAACCGGCATCCATACAAAGTCTGATACGGTGTACCATTGTTCTGCGAACGCGAGCCCCCATTAAATTAAAATTTTCTCAACATATTAACGACGACGCCGGCGAATCTGATTACAACCGCAATATGTAGAACACCGCGATATGGCCTTTACGAATTGTCAGACTTCACATACTGTGTTCGAGAAACTTAATTAAATATTACTATTTCTTTTAAATACGCACGTTTATTTACGACGTATGCTACCGGTGCCGGGTTCGAACTGAGGTACCGCGGCTCTTTATGAATATAAAACCAGAAAAAAACTGGTACGATTACACCACTGCATAGTTTATTTGTGGTGCAAGAGATAAGTATGATCGTCGGTGGTAGAGCCACGCAACAGTGTTTGAAGTTGCACGAATGGGCAGGTCCATCCGGGTTAGTACGGCGACCTCACAGAAGACCGGCGTCGGGTGAGTGAGGTAGCCGGGGCCCACTTCATTAAGAAGTGGAAACGCATCTGCAACCCTACGGGTGTTGCAAATGTCCATGGGCAGGGCGGTTATCACTTAACATCAGATGAACCGCCAGCTCGTTTGCCACTTTCTCACATAAAAAAAAAATTTTAATGCGCGACCGTGAACCGGACATTGGAGGTGTAGTCGAAAAATGCCCTCTCCCGTATACCGAAAGAGTCGCCTCGGCCGCGCTAAACACCTCATCGCATATTCAGTTTCCCGTGCGCTCTGCGGTGGGATTTTCGGGATTTTCGCCAATCGGCCGCGCCCCGGTCCTAAAGAAAAACGGCACTTTAGAAATCCGAACAGCCAGCTACGAACTTCCCTTAGAACATTCGGACAGACCGAGTTCACTCTATTGGTATGTATATTATGTTCGGACCACAGGTTGGGATCGATTTGGGTTACTGCTGCTTGTAGGAATGCACCGTTGCATGGTCAAACGATTTGCAATGGCCAAAATCTGTTGAGACAACGTTATTGATACGCTCAGAGATGCATAATCCAGCTGGCTGAAAATGTATTTCGCCTCGTCATTTTGGATTCGCCTGTCAGTGCCATATATGTTAATTTGACTTACGCGTATCGGCTGCTCGAATAGGATAACTGGATTTTTTTATAGGTTTTCAAATATCCTGCAAACCAACCTTGCTCTTATACGTAGTGACACATAGAAAGAGAATGTTTCTGCGTAACAATAAAGTTTTTGCCTTTCACAATAAGGGACATACGGGCGGTGCACAAATAACCCATTACATTCCGCGAATTATTTGTCGCAGTACGTCGCGGCACACATGCCTAATGCGACAAATAATCCATGTAAGCCAATAACATAATATATAAACAATATAGGCGCAATTTCACCACCTGCTGGCAAACTTGTGTTTCAATTAAATCGGCTTTATATTGCTGAACTTGCAGCAAAACATTGCAAAAGCTGGTACCAACCGACAGTATATGGTTTGTATACAAATTGAACAAAACTTATCCACCTAAACGTGCTTTAGAAAAAAGTACAAGCGAAATACAATCGGAACAAAATGGAATCGATGCGCCTTTATATTTGGACAATAGCTAACAACCCCCTCCCCCCCTCCTACACGGCTCCCGTCTCCCCTGTGTCTTTACGGATGGACTACAGGCGTTAGGCATAAGCGGAAATGACACGTCGGTCACAGGCTGAGTTGACAGGGAAAAGGCTGAGCGGCCGGCCGAGCATTATTGATGCACGCATTCAGAGGTATGCATGCACTGGCCAGGACAAGACTCGGCGTCCAACATGCGATGAAGCACAGCTCAAGTGAAGACCGTGATTATATTTGCATTTATTAAAATCAAATTATCTAAACAAATAGCGCACGTGTTTTGAGAAATAGTTGTAAGTTGATGTATAAAATAAAATAAAAATAATAAAAATAAATTTGACGATTATTCCTCGTTTATAGTTTCATTTTCATTAAGGTGGGCAATTAAGAACGGTAACGGGCAAAAAAAAACAACGGAGCTTTCCATCGGGCACGATAATAACCTGAATTAACTGAATAAATACAATTAGATAATTAATAGAGTACCGAAATGGCCGTCAATAGCATAAACAAACCGCGGGGTATATCGACAAAATGAGCCGTTAATAATTTTACTTTAACAAATGAAGGGAGCGCTCAGCTTGCTGCTTTGCCAGCGCCCAATACAATCCGCTAATTGATTGGTCTGCAAATGACGCCCAAGGAACATCCCTCATAGTCTTCGCAAGGACTTGACGATGCGATGGCAGACAGCGCGACTCGTATCGAGTTCGACCGACCAGGCGTCAATTTAAACGTATTTTGTATGCACGAATAAAACAGATTATGTTAATTTTGATTAATTTCCAAGCGAATGTAACTGAGGAAGAGGTTCAACTGATGATGGCCTGATGTTCGATGGTGTTCAATCGCTAAGACTGCGAGCGACATAACTCTCGGACTAAAGTTTAAAATCTTCAAATTCTCGCTGGCACTTTATCTGATGTCAAATTTAAAGTCTAAATGGTAATATTTAGTCGGCTTATCAGAACCATCGCTGGTGTAATGCCCGTCTCTGGGTCGAGCTACCCTATTTGAAGAGCAGATGATAGGTACGCTGTTGTTGCATCACCACCTTAACATATGACACGTAACAGGTATCGTGACACAAATGGATTATTTCAAATGTAATGCAATCACCTCTATCTGTTATGTTCGATAGTTTAAATAGACTCAACTTTACTATTTTTATGTGCAATGTTAGTTACCTTGACATTAAGCGTCCGCGTCTCTAGTCCGAACGAGGCGTATCGGAAAGAATACAAGCGGGGGAAGGAAAATATTGATTTCAGTTTCTTGACATTGAATTCTGCACCAACCTACATGGATCTATAGGATCTTCTATTATAAGCTACACACAGATAATAAAAACAAAGTTTTCTACGACAAAACATAATCGTTATTAAAATATTAAACTTCTAGGGATTACAAATATACATATATATGTAGATGTATAACGTCATTGTATCAATACTTGTACGTATGGTAATCTTTTTGGAAAAACTTGTGGAAAGACTTATTTTTGTGCTTAAAGTTTGCAGAAAAATTCATGACATTACATTCGTCAAGCTTTGCGGTATTTACAAAAATTTTAAATTTTAAATTTTAAATTTTAATTAAAATCTGTTGGTCTAAACTGGCCGACTTAAGTTATCGTTAGTTATGTAATAATTGATTTTTCGATTATATTCTATCTAAAGAAAATTCATATGCTGTGTCTTAACTGCGAGAAATAGTGGTGTAAACGTTAAAAATACTCATCGGAATTTTTAGAGCCTAACGGGGAAGCCTAGTTTTATCGCAAAAGTTATCAGGCAAGAATCGATATTGACGAATTATAACACAATAAAATACGTTAAGTTCGCCTATTTAGAGTAATATATATCAGGTGACAAGACAAACTAAAAATACATATGTATATTTTGTTAAAACATAAACAAAAAATTCCAAATTGTTGACAAGCGTTAGCCTTAACGTGAGTGAGTTTACACACATGAGTTGTGAGTAGATTTGCCGGATATCGTCAGGCGTGGCGTGGCAACATTGAAATTCCGGTAGACGACAAAGAGGGCGCTAAACGGAGAGTCGAAAACTTTTTCTGATGTAACATTCGAACGTTCACCTACGTTTTCATAAGCGTCAACGTTCTTTTTGGTTCGGTCGCTACGGTCGGTTCGCGTGAGTTTTGTCCCGTTGGAACAATGGAATCGTGTTTTCACTTTAATCCCGTGACGTAAGCACGAAACCGCTTTCGAAGCCGATTACGGAAAAAGTATATGCTGTATTTCAAAGTACTGATCAGCGATTGACTAATATCCTATTAAATGTTAAGCTGTGACGAATTAAAAGAACTACTACTAAACGCAATTTCTCAGTACTAGCAAATTACCAGTAAACACTAGCGAAGGAAAATCAACGATGGTTACTCTTAAATTTATCTTGATACCTTTAAAATTATCCATAAAACTGGGCAATTGTGATAAACATTGTATTAACTGATTTATCTGAAGTTTTTACTCTCCTGTACGGTAAGAGATGCTGATGTTCAACTGAAGAAAATTTAGTTAGCTAAGAAGGCGCGGTATGTAATAATTCACCCGCCGCCTGAAGGCTGTAAGCTCATTAAAAACTTCCGACAATAGAATCCGATATCGATCGTGAACTGAAATGACGAGAGAAGACTCCGTTGTGCTAGTTATTAGTGCTAACAGAACAACGCTGAACAATATTTCCAGTGACTGCTTACATCGTAAACCTTTCTTGTCACATTATCTATCGTATCAAATTCTGTTAGAATTATGTTTCGTTCATCTGCCAAAGCATTTTTTTATCTTTACAAGATCCAGCGATTCAGTTTTTACTTATTTAACTTCAAAGATTTTTAAATAAGACTTGACGCTTGACTGTCAATGTAACGATGGTTTAGCGTTGATTGGCCTCTTTGATTAAGGCCGACTCGGGCGTCGTTTTCAAACCATCGCGATGGTTTGAAAACGACGCGATGGTTTAAAAATACTTCACGATGCATCGTGAAGTGTTTTTAAATAGGCCACAGTTGTACATGCAATCAATTCTGAAATGAGCATTGAGAAAATAAACACTTTTCATCTACAACCATTAACATTATCTATTGAAGCCATTATACCAGCATTTTCTTACGCCACTGATCAAAATAATTTTGATTCAACACAAAGGGATGCAATCATGTAAAGAGAGGGCTGGACACATGACACGCGTTATACCAACGTTTTAATTTACAGCTCGAATGCTTCGCTCGAGACCCAAAATGGAAATGAAACCGAATGCTAGATTGTTCTTCGACCGCGGGCTGAATGTGGTCAATCGCACAGAGGCGCTACGCCGCAAGCGTACTGTCGCAAATGGAGAAGTAACAACAACGTTGTACGTAAGACCATATTGCAACTAGTGAACATAGCACATTGGCGGATTTACAAATTTGCCGCAAACAGGCCGAAAAGTTTTGCCGCCCCTACTGACCTCTGAAATTTGACAGCCTAGGTCGCAATCATTTTAAATGCATTTATTGTGTCAATAACAACTTATTGATTTGTTCTCTTTCGTCTTGATTATATTAGGTTTTTCTCGTCATTAGCATGATTTTGAACTAGGGTTTCGTTATGTAGGTGTCTAGATTATTTATACAAACCATGATTTAGGTACGATTACACAAAAAATAGTTCTTAGTTATATTTCTGAGCTAAGAAAAGCTCAATCATGTTCTAATTATAAGACAGTGTTACCTTACATATTGGATTTTTGGTTGGATTTTAAATCACATATTGGATTTTTGGTTGGCCGAGTACGCAAAGTAATAAACATAATGAGAAAACTACGAGATTCGGCGTGCATAGATACACTTAAATCAGTTTTCTTAGCTCTCTGCCAGTCGCTCATTTCTTATTGTATCTCTGTCTGAGGCAGCGCGTCCAAATGTAACATGATTAACTTAGAGAGAGCTCAAAGGTCTGTCCTTCGGGTTATGCTTAAGAAACCTTATAGGTACCCAACGATTGATCTCTATAAGGAGAGCGGTGTTTTAAATTTGCGACAATTGTATATTCTTAGAACATGTTTAATAATCCATAAGAATGTCACAAACTCGGAAACCTACACCCAAATGTTGAAGAGCCGTGTGTTCCGTCTGCCTGTTGCACCTGTTAAGACTTCTTTCGCAAGACGTTTTAGCCCTTTCTCATCAAACTCTGTCTATAACAAAGTTGTAAAGATTTGTGATATAAAAAGGTGTGCTGTGAGACAAGCCAAAAAGATTCTCCTAAATTGGCTTCTTACTCTCTCGTACTATGACACAGAAAAACTTATTGCAAGACCATTATAAATACATACAACAGACTTATAAGATACATAATTTTATTTTTATATATATATACATATATACATTTATCTATATCTATATTATCTTATTTACATATATATATGTATTTATATTTATCTATATCACACTTTTTATATACCTGTAAAACAATATCTCTAACCGAGGCAATATGTCTGATTATGTCAAGTAGGTTTTTGGTGCTCACGATACAGGCGTCGCCTAGTGAGAGCACCGCAGATAATGTACGGTTTTCGAAATGTCTCAACAGCAATCTAGTTCTAAGTTTCTAAGTATTTTGTATATCCTATGTTTTTGCTGGTTAAATAAATGATTTATTATTATTATTATTATTATTATTACACCGTCTTATAATTAGAAATACTTAGCCTAGCCATAAAAATACTTGTAACAATATATAAACACAGCCAACATAAAATAATTATAACCCTAACTTTTAATCAATTATTTTTAGATATAGTTCATATTTACTAACATGTTATAAAACTCCGTTATCCGTAAATGTTGTTCCACTGAAGTTTACATGTTTCCGTAGCGACGTTCGTTTCCGTTATCGGACAAGCATACAGAATGTAGGGACCTGGAAACGATAGGCCCAATGCGGGGTTCCGCCGCGCGCCGCAACCTAATATCGACACGGGGTCCCCGTGTCCCGTCCAGGCCGACCGCATCAATCTATTTTCAATTGCGCTTTTGGCGCAAGTTGAAATTGTCCGCTAATACGGTGCCAGTTGCCAGTGACGCTGGCTGCCCGTAGCGGTGCGTAGCTAGCTACGACATCGTGCTACGACAGGCGGTTTCGGTTTCTTTGCATGCGAAGAAAACTGCCTCGTCGAAAAGCTCGACCTTAGTGCGAATAGCCCTCATGGGAATCACTCGATAATGAATAATATTAGTACCATTTTTCGGTGTGAGGTTTATTGATTATTACACAAATTTAATCGTGCGTATTATCAAGTATGGACGTAGACAGTCATGTTAGTTGAATTTATTCAACCGTGCGCCGTTATAAATGAACATTCGGAACGGCACAAAGCAGAATAAATTAATATAACAAGTACATAAATTCAATTATAGAATACCCTTTCTACATTATAATATTCTGTGAGTAGGTTTACATACATAGTTACTCATATATAGTGCTTGATTACTTTTTCTATTTTATATCCCATTGCTTACATTAATTTGAATTTATTGCAACCACCACAATTTCTCTTCGAGTATTTAATGCACTTTGGATATGTATATATTTTTTATTTTTTTTAAAACATTGCCCTTACATTGTGATAAAATTATCACGTGTCTTAAGGACGTTTTACAATCATAAATTTCACGCGGACAAACACCCAGATGCGAAACAACTGTCTGTGGGTCAAGCAAATATTTGTCCCGTGTGGGAATCGAACCCACGACCCCCGACGCCGAAGCCAATACCTTGGCAACTCCGCCACGGAGGCATCTGAATATTGTTTGATACATTAAAGTAATAAAAGAAACATGTCTCACAGTCGAAATGAATCGTAACAAACGGCCTCCGCAGGAATTTACAAGCTACCTTCCACAACCCAACCCCCCCACCAAATAAGCCATTGCATCACCAAATATGCATACATCAATTTGCAAGTCAAAACGCCGTTGGGAAGCTTCGCGCTGCGGCAAGTAAGCGGCGCGGACCTCCGAAACACGATAAACAAGTGGGGGTAATGACGGGGCCGCGCGTTCGATAAACTCTATATATAATTTCGTAATATGCGATACTAAAATTGTCTAAGCACGGCGCCCCCACCTAAACTGGTGCCCCGCGACCCCCCCCCCCCCCCCCTGCCACCCGTGCACTGTCCACTTGCACCCCTCACCGCTGGGCGATACAGTGTGTTCTCTTCTGTTTGCCAATAAATTCTCGCCGATTACCATCTCGAGGGGGTCGCGGCGAACGCAAAATATGAATACGGCCAAATTGTTGATTAGAAACTTGATAATTTTCCTATGGAACTAGTTTATACATGCCGTATATACATAATACGATAGTGCAACATCATGGAATACGATTTAATTGTAATACAAAATAAAAAGCAACACTTGCAAAATTTCAAAAATCGATTTGAGATATAAAATGCAAAAGGTGGCCGTGGTTATTAAAACTACACATAATTATGAAAATAAATAATTCCTGTTTAATATTAGGTGTTTAGTTTCCTTTTAATTTGATACAACTAAGAAACAAAAGACAGCCGATAACTTCACCCGATAATCTTTCTCATAGATTATCGGGTGAAGCCATCGGCTTGTTCATGTAAAACTATAACGTCCACACCAGAAGTAGTGGGAAACTAGCCTTTGGGAGCACGCTGTGCGAAAGGGAGGCGCGGCGGCGTCTATTTGTTTTGTCATAGCTTTGTCGGAGTAGGCACATGCAGGTCATTAATTGTTGTAAACGCCGGCTCCTAATCGATAGTGCGCAACGTTCGATTCTAGTTTATATTAATGTTATTTGTGCTAAATCGTGGCCTCTATCAGTTGGCCGCCTAATGTACGGCGGGCCTTTGTAATTGGCATTTTTTTTCAACGCGTTGCAGTGCAGATTAAATTCTATCGCCCGAACGGGGCTAGTGGCACGGACACGACTATCGTTTGGATCGAGTGGAAATTAAAAAATAAATCCGCCATCGAATCGAAGACCGCGCTCGGAACGGACGGCAAGCGTGCAGCGGACGGAGGGCCAAGCTGGGGAGTTGCACCAATTACAGGGCCATCAAAAATAATGGTGTCCACCCTCTTCAAACGGTTCCCGAAAAATTTGACGCTTTCGGGAGCCACTTGTGTTAGAGCTGTGGACCGAATTAAAAAAAAGAAAAAACAAAGGACGACGTATGCGCTAATTCCTTTTCCCTCGCTTGCGAAAGTTTTTTTTTTCCAATGAAATCCCTCGCACTGTACAATTGTCTTCGTTCCAGTTTTAATAATGTATTTCTCCAATTTATCTAAGTACTAGACAACATACAAATGTTTAAGTCACGGTGATATTAAGAAACTACTACCTAAAACTGTCGTTATTTATTAAACATACAAAAGTAAATTGAAATATTTTAAGGAAATATGAATTAGAAAAATTCTTTATGCATCTGAAAGAAGTAAGTGAATTTAACTACAACAACAATCCGTGAACAATAATCGTTCGTTGATGGTTAATAAAAACCGAAGAAATATCAACAAAATTCTTTCAATTGTCCTCAACTAACATTCACACAATGTTATTTAGAAAACTGACAACTTCTCAGTAGCCGTATGTTGCTTCAAATTGTAAATGTTTGTTTATAATATTGTTTCAAAACCAACTTGTGCGGTGACATTTTCTGATAAACGAATAAACTTTCTTTGTTCTCTCATATACTACAGTTATGGGTGCACTTTCGTTTACAATCATTTGTGTTACAAAGTAAAATGCGAATAAAAACGATACTGTTTGCTTACAAAGGCTTTTAGACGTAATCGCTAAGTGTCTTTAGACAAAACTGTATTAAAAGATAAGCCAAACAATAAACAATAATTTAAAAAAATCGTTCGTCATCTGAGACTGGTTTACGCGGGAAGTCATTTCAAATGAAGATATTTAAAAATAAAAATAACTTTAACCTCACTACTTAGCGACAGAACTCGTATTAAATTCAGCGTCAACTATTGACAAACAAGCGTTGCTGGGCGAGAACTAAACGGGATAGGGCCGTGGCCGAAGAAAACCGCCAAATACTCGCCGCCCCAGAGCTTGAAAAGGCTCTAGGAATCCATTGCGAATTTCAATTAGTCCATTTACCGCGCGCCCCGTGTGGAACAAAAAGAGGTTACCCTTCCATCGCGCAGGGGGCTCGTAAGAGGGCCGAATCTTTTTGCGGGCGGCGCGGCGCGGCCGATCGGAGCGGGCCGTAATAAAATAAAGTTGCATAGGCTAGGCGGAGCGGCGGCGGGCCTAATGCATGCGCCGCTGACGGCGAGGACACGGAGGGCTTTCAACAATTTCCGAACGGACGGCGCACGGCGCGAAATTGAATCGTGTCTGCGGAGCAGTGCGGGCCGCGGAGAGAGCGGTGCGACGCTCTCTAGTAGCGCACGCCACTTTCGCAGACTCCAATTTGGTCACGATACGAACGACGCCGCCAGCCCGCACCCGACTCATCTCGTTACGGCGGATCCATCGACGCAACACGAAGTACCGGCTTATATTTCAAAGCCCCACCACGGACCTTATTCACAATCGCTAACAGTTATTTGGAAGCTCACTAGAATTCATTAAACATACGCGAAGTTTAATTGTTATTTCTAGTGTTAGTCTCTGCACTCAAGACGAAACTTTAAATTGTATTTTTTTTTTTTAGATTTTTTGTTTTTAGATTTTTTTCCATAGTATACAATTTCGGTCCCAGACGTTTTACCGACTAAGCTGAGTGGTCGATGACGTTCTTGGCGCCGTCTAGTGTGCATGATGTAAAAGAGGCGTAATGTTTACGTTTAGTTTTTAATATTCTAGTGCTTGTGTAAACACGTTTGCGTGACTCGGACAAGTTCTAATTCGCTTAAGTTATTAATAAATAGAATTGTCGTTAGAATGATTTTCATCATTAATTACAATGTCTCGTTGCACTTTTTGTTCTCATTAACGCTCAGAAGTCTGTAGCGATCATTCGCCCGACCAGTATTAATGATACCCCGTAAATTTCCCACCACGTGACGTAACATAACGGCAGGGACTTCAGGTGTGTTGCCAGCCATCTAGATTGGTTCCCTTGACGACTACAATGTACAATCGAAATGGGAAAATGGAATTTGTGACAACGTCACATGAAATATAAATATTGAATCGGCACCGTAAATTTAAGTCACTGACTATTATATACAGTTCTTAGGTATTTTAAATAGATATGTTGCAATGCTCCATATAAGACGCAAAAAGATGCCCGTTGGAGAATCACGTTAGGCCTGAATGACGCCCTAGCCTTAATTTAAACGCCGCCGGTTAGACCGCGCAATCAATTGGTACGGCAAAATACTGATCTACTGAGATACAGCGAAACGAGCCCCATAACGGCCGGGAGGAATGACAATCAGCAGACGCGGCATGGGGGTGGACGTGGGGGCGGAGGCGTGGGCGAATCTAAATTCATGGACACTAGCATGATTAGGGCCGCGCTGCTTTACGCGGAGTTTCGTCAGATGAAACGCACCATTCGGCCGGTTGTTTATCGCAACATTAACCGCCTGGCACGGACCACGGTGCCTGGCTGCGCCGCGGACGCAAAACCGGCGGTTTACGCGCCTTTTATGAAAATGTAATTATTTTCAGTGCTGCCAACATTGAATTCGAATCAATAGCTCATTTTAACACATATCGATATTTGGTAACGCTATTATTTATACAGCGCGTCGATACAACCGCGACAATTAATGAATACACGCCTAACGCTACTTGCCAATAACCATAAAAAATATAAACGTTAAAAAAATCCATAACTAAAAAAATATTCTTCAATCTAACTATAACTAATTAAATAAAAAAGAAACAAAATTTGTAACATCCTATACAACTACAACTGACTGATTCATACATTCAGAGAATTTTTCATTCGTTGCAACAGCATCGCATTACAACTCTCCTTGTAACAGTATGTTTTGTCTTTTTTAAATTCATTCAACTCATTCATATGCTTTGTAACCTTTACAAATGAACTTTACGTTACAGTTTTATACGTTACGGTGTTTTATACGTTATACGTTAGGGTGGTATTGGAAAATTTTATCACTCGGTAAATATTGATGTTTAAATAATGTGAATGTTTAATACAATTTTAAAAAGTTATCCTTTATAAGTGAGTTCATTTATTATCGCGGTAGTAACGACACGCTGTATAGATCACTAAAGTTCGAGGCAGTTGGCATGGTGGCACTTCGCCTCCCCTCCGAACGGTTCCCGCCTTGTTGCGGCGTAGCGGATTAGTGGCCGTGGCTTGGTCAACCTGGGCGAAGCTTAGAGGAAGTGCTGGAGGGCAAAGAGGCCGAGGGTCGTAGAGGAGGAGTCACGGAGGAAGAGTAGTGTTGGTTTTGCGTTTGGCGACCCACGACCTATAGCAAACATATCCTTGAAACTTCGCTAACTCAGTTCTATCGTTTAGGATTAAACGACAAAGTTTTTTCGATAATACCGTTGCCAAGAGAACACAACAAACTAACGTGGGCAATATCACGAACATATCGTCAATTGTTATACATTACAGCTGTTGTATTAGTTAAATTCTAATATAACTTCGTATATAATCGAATCTTTAAAACCATAAGGAACTGTTGCTATCGCGCGCAATTCGGAGCAATTGAAAAGCAATTCGTTAATGGCGGCCGGAAGTTTCCCAATTATTGCAAGGGATATTATTGATCGTACTTTATAATGGCACCGGATCTTGGTTTATTAGGATGCGCCCACGTCAGTCGGCGAGCCTTCATCAATTTACATAACATGATTGTATTAAATGCACCGCTTTGAATCTTACCAAATTCAAACTCAAAATTTCTTTGTTCAATATAGACTTATTTTAAGCTCTTATTAAGAAAAAACTTTCAAAATTTTACTAAACCACTGTTCAGAGAAGAACCGACATGAAAGTTTGCGGTCTTGTTCTTTTTAATTGTATCAGTATACAAAATTATTTAATTATAAAATCAGTAACAGATGTTTTCTGGTTCTGGTCAGTCTAAAACCCGGTATTTCCAGGGTGTCCCATGACCCCACGCCAGGTGGTATGCTTTTTACGTATATGATGTTCTCGAGTATGTATACAGACGCGAGCGTTACAACGTTTATTTGCTTAAAAAGATGCCGTAGTGACTCACGTAGACCCAATAGATATCCCGTATCGCTTCCTTTTGCAAAACAAATATCGTGTCTAGACCGGATGCCGAACCCCAAAATAAAACACCATACGACGTGAAAAACAATAATAACAAACTAATTGCCGTATTTTACTTATGGCAAAGACAACGGCGCCCTACTACTTCTCTAATATATCTATGCTCATTACAAATAACTAATGTAAGCTTCTCCTCATTAATAAAGGCAAATATGATATTAATTACCGTGTCTTATTTGAAATTGAAATCACAGCTTTACTTATAAAACCGCTAAGTTATTAAGTGAAAAATTGAAACCATTGCACAAAGGAAGGACACTCAAATAAGGGTCTCAATGCTCAATACTAGTGCCTCAATAGCACGCTAGAGCTCTAGCAATAATCCAATAAAAAAGAAGATTATAAATAAAAGTGGAACCATCTATAATTGAATCGAAGTATCAATTTACCGTACCAGTAGCGCAATGAGTACTTCAGTTCTATTTACAACCTTCGAAGCCTTCAAGCGCTATAAGAAATGCGCTACGAAGTGCTACGATTGCACTACACGCGTATCTGAGTGCTACGCTCACGATCGCTGTTGATAAATGTAATAAGTACGCGGAGATATTGAAAAACTAGAAAAGGTAATATCCAATTAATTACACAACCCTTTTATTTACATTCGTTACAATAATTATAGGCATACACACTAAATTGATTGTAAAATGAAATACTCGTAGGTATAAATCGATATGTTCGTTATAAAATAAGTTTAGAAAGCGCGAAAACAATTGCAACTAAGGCAGCGTTTCATTTGCAATGACATCGTGTTGTCCGACAGAACAAGCGAGCGCCCGGGAACAATTTCTAATAATTGCAGCTTTGCATCGCGAAGCGAATTACGTATTTATGAGTTATATCCGCGTCGGACAATATTGGCTGGACGGCCGCGCGTTTTGCTTCTTCCATGAATATTTTATTGGCTTTGAATTGTAGCAATTTTAGTGTGCACCGGCTCGGGAAATATATAAAGATATCGATAGCCAAAGTGTCAGAGAGACGTTGCTTGCGCGTGTTATTTATTATTATAACATCATCCGTTCCCAACCCGTTTCCGGTGACAACGAATTGGCACGTGGAAATTAATACGTGGGCCGGGCCCACTGAAATATTTCCTTTAGGGCCACGCTAAAATGGCGGAAAAATAAAATATTAAATTAAAACGTGTTTTCTCAATAAATGGTTCCTACAAAATTAAATTATCACCGTTTAAATATGACGCGTAACAGTAAACTTACGGATGAAAATTACATATACGCAACATTTTGATTTTAAAGTTTTAGTATTAGTAGTAGTATCTGAAAGCAATCATGGAATACAATCACTACATGTTAACATGTGTAGTATTCGCGTAAATAGAAGAAATTTAAATATTCAGCTTTATAAGTATTGACGAAACTACTTGAAAAACAATTGTTTCAAGTATACGTCAATAGGTGCCGACGTCTCACATCATGAGAACGGTATGCGCAAAAGACGATATAAACTAAAAAATTAAGGACATCTTTCATTAAATCGCAAGTTTACCAACCTGTTGGCGAGTGGCGTCGCGTTGGCAAGCCCTCGAGCGTATGCTAAGAAAATTAAATAAAAAGGTCGCTTTTAGAAAACACATGGCATGCTGCATCCCGCCCTCGCCAGCATACCGTACAATAACCGCTGAGCATATTCCGTGGAATATTAAATTCATGATTTAATAATTCAAGAGGCGTGCCTTCCTATGTTATATTGAACGGTAAATTCATTAAAAGTAAGTTAGTAGCCCGAGACTGAGCGGAGAGGATGTTATTTTCTCCACGTACAAACTTAAGCAGGAAATATGATGTTAAATTTACATTTTGCATGTAAATTTTGCAACATCGAAATTTTTCTTCCATCATATTCGCGTCAGAGTTATTGCAAATAATGTTAAAGAATTTAGCTTAGTGAACGATGAACGTGTTTTAACGCTATGTTCTTTGGAGTTTCTCCACGATGCTTTTATATATCGAGATAAAAGTAGAAGTAATCGTGTATAAAGTTCCCGTAAATTTTGTGTTTCGGGAACTTCATACAAAATTACTTCTTTTTTCATGTAAAATAAGGGAAAGCGGTGTACTCTACGTCTGTATATAGAACATTAATTTGTATGTACAAGACACACGTACTCACATCAAGAGAATAAACGGAAGAAAACTTTTTCTGTCCATCCGCGTCTTTTTGTACAGTATGGAAGATGTAAAAAGACAGGACGGAAATAATGCGAACGATTACGTATCGATCGAAACACATAATATAATCGTTAAATGAAATTCAACCGAAGACTTTTGGCTATTGGAACGAAGACGTTGGAACTGTGACTAGATCATGGAAAGATTAATTAATTTACTTTCGAGAAAACCTTAAAACTGGTGTAGAAGCAAATAAATTCGTCTAAAGTTTCACACTCGCACCTGTAAAAGGCATTTGATCTATTACAGCGTAGCGCCTCCGCCGATGGAATTGGGGAGAGCGCGACAAAGTGGGGCTAATCAGACGCATTTGTTGGACAAACTAGGCGTCGGTGCCTCCCCCCCCCCCCCCCCCCCCCCCCCCCCCCCCATTTAGTTTTTCACATAACATGCAAATGAGACAAAGAGAAACGAACGTGTGATAGGGAAGAAAAAGTTAACGATTTCTCAATAAAGAATTACGAATCCCGAAATGAGCAATAATTGTGATTTTCGTATTAAACGCGAACTGAGATAAGCCCGCCGTATATCCACGAACGTACGTTCGAACCAGCGAAAATCAAAAGTATTGTTTAGTTAGGGGCGCACGGGTCGTAACATAAAACTCGGATAAATAATTCAGAGTCACTATTACGCCGACTGGAGACGCCGGATCTCGAGGAAACTACGCCCCTAAATATTTGAGGAGCGACGTTATATGTATTGCAATTTTCATTAATGATTAAAAAGGATTTCAGGTGGGAGCCGGGGGCTTCGTCGGCCCGACAAACGGACATACATAAGTTATGCCCCGCCATACGCCAGGTACGGCTAATCTAAAGGGTGAACTACAGCACAGTGTTATCTTGGATGTGTACACTGCATTATGTAATTCATAGTCATACTTGCGATGTGTCGCTGCCCTTAAATGAGCTTTAGTTTACCGTCCTTGGATTAGCAATACCGTCGATTGATGTTATTGCTTTTTTAAATTTCGACCCGCACGTCACTGAAAAATTTTTATTAAACTGTCAGACGAGCGTCAAACACAAGCGCCTGCATACACACCACTCCACTCCCCCCAGTACGTTCGACGAATAGAGCACGCAGCCGTGAAACAAGAAAACAATACGACAGAGTCGAAGCCGAGGCCGTGATGCGCGATAACAGCGTGCCCTGGCGAGTTCAGAGGTGCAAAATCAAATATGAACGGAAGACCGCGGGTCAGTAGGCACAAAACGCCTCCGCAGCGGCGCCGCACCTAGCTGCCAGAGTTGGCGATCCACACAAAGGGCCTATTTCGGAATGAGCGAAACGCATTCACAATGCGAAAAGGTAATAGACACGGCTCCACAATGGGCGCATCGTTTGCATCGGTAGGCTCATTGTAGTCATTTAAGCGAAGTTCCCTTTGTGCCGAGAGGAAAGTTTGAGTCGTCGACGGTCCGATAACGCGCGACGGTGACGCCCGTTCCCTCCCTGAAGACCTCCGTGACGGGAATGAATTAATAGTGCTTGTTGTATCCACGTCAAGCAATCGGCCAAGTGGTCACCGGAGCGCCCCGCCCCAAGCCACGTTAACTCCTAATAACGACTGTCTAAACGTACATAATCAAAAAACCGGTAAGCTATCCGATCTTAAGGCAATGCCTAAAAAGTTCGCCAGCACAGATGAGCTTAAAAAATACCTCTTATACATCTTACAAACTTTTATTAGGTTAAAATAAAAGCGCGACAAATTTGAATATAACAGTTTGTTAGGAAATTAAAAACCATGTGTAATTAAAAAGGAGTTTATGCCAAAAGTCTTCAAAAAGTCCCTCAAGGTGCTGTTCACAAAAAGTGAAAGAGGCGTCCGGCGCCTTTCCACGCCGCATTCAGAAAGTTCGTATTTACCGAGTCCGCTTCAATTCTGTCCGATGTTTGTGTGGCTTCATAAACGTATTGAATTACTTCGATGGATTTGCAAGGAGGCTCTGGCCGTTCGGGCTAAAATTAACATCCCCTGCGTCACCCGGCCTTTGTTGGGAGCGTGTAATTACCGATCGAAAACTCAATCAAACGTCACGCTGCCCCTGATAGTGCCGGCCTCGTCAAAGAACGTCAATACGTTATGATTTTGAAATCATCGCTGATGAACCAGATAACACAGCGGCCGCTTGAGCCGCGTTGCATTGCATGCGACGTTGTGCAAATAGGAGTTTCGATGGTCTAATAAAACGGCAATGCAACGCTTACTCTATTACATTTCGTTAAAACGAATCGAGTATTCTAAGCTTCTTAATTATCAATTACTGGTTTTTAATAGCTATATTTCATAATAAACGGGATAAATCCGTTAACGTTTAACGTTTCATGCTGACCTCTGTTAAATATTTTACACGCTCTATTCATTACAGAAAAATATTTTCGTCTCCGGCTCGATTATAGAAGCACCGTAATCCCTAAAAAAGGTGATAACTAGTATAATATCCATACGGTTTTGTTATTCACAACGCCTTCTGTGTCTTCCATCACAGATGTATACAAAATTAGAGCAGTTGCAAATTTCCGAACTCCATCCACTTGTGTAGGCGAATCGAATAATTTATTCGTTCAATAACAGGGGATTGAAGGTAAACAGTAATTCGCGCGCAATGTTAGTCGGGTGCCTCGCGGGCGTGTCTAATCAAGGGAACAGACGAGAGCGCATCTCTTGCTTTATTAAGTGCGCTCAGACCGATTGCGATGCAGAATATAGATCAAATATCGGCTGTTTGCAGATATATATATGTGAATCTGAGGTGCGTACGATTGGGCGAAAATTGGGCTCCGGCTACCTCACTCACTAAACGAAATGCCATGAAGTATTTGTCATACTTCCACTTTACGCTGGTCTTCTGTAAGGTCGTGGTACTTACCCGGACGGGCCTGCCCATTCGTGCAACAGCCGAGGCTGCTGCGTGGCCATACCACCGTATACAAGTTTAACGCGATGTTTGTATCAAAAAATAAAGGAACGTCCGTACCGTTATTTACTTTAGAGGTGCTACGCATGAAACAGACATTTGCAAGTTCGATAACGGCTGTCTGAAGTTATGCATTAATTAACAGGCGTTCTCAAGTCACTCAAGGTCGCGTCCTTTATACACGCATATAACTTTCTGTACAATTAATCCAGCAGGAATCAAACAATTTACCATATTCCATTATAATCAAAAATATTTTAAACAATTTTGGACACTATTATTTGTAAAAATGGACGAAAAGGTTCTGGAATGCGCGACGTCCACTTTTCTAGAAATTTAAATCTTGCAACTTAGTGCATAAGCACTATACAAAAATATTTTACGCCGTGTTTGTTCAGTGGTTTAATTAATATTGCAAAAAAAAAAAAAAATTAAGCCAACAATTTTAAGTTCCCACCCATTCCTAGCACCTCCAGCGTAGCAAAAAGCGTCTGACGTGGACGGCATATCCAACAATGTTCCAATAAATGCGGGCTCGACGCGTGCGATGGATTACTTAAAAGCGTCAGAAACACAAGAGATCTAATGCCGTTGCAACGTCCGTGCAACAATGGAAACGCGCTCTGCTAATTTGCAGCTGAAGCATTGGCTCCGTGCGGGCAATTCTGAAATTAAGGCTCGGCTCGCCCGCACATAGACGGAGCGATGCTGCTAATATGTACTTGTGAACGCAAAATCTCGCATCCAGGATTTCTAATCAGGGTGCCAGCCGGTACGGAATAATATAGAGGCGGCACCAAGAACTGTGCGCATTCAACGGTGTATTTGCCCCAACTGATGTAAAAAAGCCAGACGTTTTCTAATCATCCGATCATCATACATCCCTTACACCTGAAAGCTCAAGTCATTGTTGTTTCAGTTTTTCGCATTTCTATTAAATACCTACAATAAAAATAATAATTAAAAGGCCAGTGGAAAGTGTGTCTAATACGTTCATAAAACGATAATACGCAGACGCGATAATCAATTGTTAATGAGTCGTTTGCGCGGGCGAATTTTAAATATGTACGAATTGTGATTGAAGGGAACGGACTCCGTAAACAAGGAGAGTGGGAGGCACACGGAATACTTCCAGAGACCGCGCAGCGTCCGTTCGAAGTATTGTGTGTAGATTCGAGCAAACAGTGGGCCGGGGGAGCGCTTTGCAATGCTGATTCATTATGTATATACGGCCGGACGGACGGGCCGCCCCATTCAGTGCGATGCATCTTCGGCGCGCGATTTGGGCGATCACGTTTCTGGCAATGCGATTTTCACGTTCATTGCGATTTTATGTCCGGCCGGAAGTGGGCGTTGCGTTTTGTTTTGAAATAGGCGCACGGATTGTTGCGGAATAATTGAACGGCTGAGTGTTTAGATAAAGCTTCCCTCGGGCAATCGTACGATTTGATAAGCATGCGGAGATGTACGCCAATCGTACTTCGCTTCGTTTCGTGGTTAAATGACTACTGTTGACTAATAATTGAAATTCATATCGCTTCAATACTAACTGACATATATGTGAGTGCGTTCCTGATCGGGGTAAGACTAAACGCTGTCAACAGTCAATATACAAAAACGTCATATGCAAACTTCACTGGTCCCTGCAATCGTGAACGATTTTCAACTAAGCTTTGTCAAGGAGCGAAACGTAAACTCTTGTATTGCTATTTTGCATTAATCTATGTGTAGATCGGCCAATCGTGGAGGTAGTCGACGTTGAAACTGGCAGTGAACACATTTAGTGAACGAAACGAACGAAAAATACGTGAATAACTAAATCAGTTGTCAATCCATAACTCGGGCATCCGCGGGTGCTTGTGGACAACGGTGCGTTATAAGTAGAAACGTCATGCGGAGCTGCCGGGTACGTGGTGCGTGGCGGGTAATATAATGAGGTTGGGCTTTATGCGCGAATGCTCGCTTAGGGTGGAACGACGACACGTGGATGCGGCAAGGATGCCACGTATATCGAAAAATATCGTTTTTGACATGTGTAGCGGAACCATTGAAGCATCGAAAATATCTCACGACACGATGTTTGTATATAAGGTGAATGTGTATTAATAATGTAAAAAAGAGCTGTCGTTTCACACTATGTTAGGTGATGACCACCGCCCATGGAGATTTGCAACACCCGTTGGGTTGCACGTGTGTCACCACCGTTTTATAAACTGGGCTCCGGTCACCTCACTGACCAGACGAAACGCAAAAGTGTAACACTTCCACCTCGCGCCCGTCTTCTATGAGCTCGTGGCACCTCACCGGACAAAACTGCCCATTCGTGCAACAGCGGAGACTGTTGCTATCCTACCGCAGTTATACAAGTCATATGCCCGGTTTCTATATTCAACGAACGGCCGTTAGTTACATAACTTCGTAACTTTCATAACGGATTTTCTTTCAATAAAACTTTCATAAACGATCGGTTAAAAGGAATACCAAGCGCGTCACGCTGCCTAGCAACGTTACGCAACGGTCAGTCAACAAAGCTCTCGAAGGGCTTGAGGATTTCACTAACGCGAGATGAAAGCCCGACAATTGGCCGTGCATTTACGTCAAGGGTTACAGACGATGCGCCGGATGCGTTTCGTGGCTCCGCGCCATCCCGCCGGACGCTTGCGTTAACAAATCAAGTTTGCCGTGGAGCATCCCTTGGTAATTTGTTCTAATTGAAATTCAAGCCATTGACATGGTCAACCGGCTTAATCGAATCTCGCCGCCTCTCTGCGGGTCTCGGACGTTTATGTAAGGAGGGATATCGAGACGGGAAGCCACTTCACGGAAACGTACTAAGTCGGAATGCCGCCCATTGATTAATCTCGATTTGGATGGAATATCTTTGTATCGAAATCGAGAGGAGGATAATATATGTTAACTAAGGGCATTATGTTAGAGGATAATATATATTAACAAACGGGTCGTATATTAACAATCAGCGTTCATGTAAAATTTTCCATAATGTTTCCAAAATTCAAACAACAAAACTCAAAGAAACAACTATCCAAGCAGATGCATGCTCAGGAGGAAATGGAAAAAAAAGCGATTCGATTTACAAACGTCATCGGTCGCCAACAGCTCGGCCGCCGGCACCGGCTAGGGGCGCTAAAAACACGCGCCCTCCGTGCGGTGCCGCGCCGATAAAGTCCATCAAAAAATGCCAACCAGTGCCGTTCGGAACATTGTCTCTATGCACACGTGCCGCGCCCGCGGAGGGCCGTGTTAACAATTCAACCGGTCGCGGTATAAAGTTCGCGCGTCGAAAGTTGTGCCGCGCGCCCCGGACAGGGCGGCCCTCTAACAGGTTGCCCGGTCCGCCACTATTTTTACGAGTCCCGCACGCGCCCAGTGTTGTGACCGGGCACACCTGTTGGCGCGCGGCGCTGTTTATCGCCCGATTATTTTCACGTGCCGTTGCCGCCGGCCGTCTGTGGCGTTAGTGTGGAAGGTAGGATTATTTCTTTAGTGCCTCAGAGTTATTTTGGATGATACACTTATGCGTCAGCTTAGAAGACTGTCGGCTGTTCTTTCGTGGTGCGGGGGAAATTGAAAGGGGCATTTCTACGGTTTGAAGAGTATTAGTCTACGAAATTGAGTTTCCGCCGGGAAATATTGGCCGTGAAAGTTGCTTTCACTGCGCAGCATCTAAGCTCTTTACTTCTGGCTAACTATCAAAGTTACTCATGATAATATTCACCTAAAGTATCTCTGTAAAGTAGCGTGAATGCACTCAGAATTTCACTATTTGAAGGTCATTGAGGTATGAATTTTATCTTAAATTATTAGTCATATTGTGCTACTACTTTAAGGCATTGCGTGAAGGCAACGCCAAAAATTACTATTGATTTTCAACAATTGCCGTAAACACCACAAATAGTCACGGAAATCGGTAATAACACACCTCTAGTATGTTGTATCATTTAAAATATCATAGTTTAGAATAACAGTTAACGATGTTTCTCTAAAGTTTGTTAATTCACTACAATTCATAAGGTCTTATTACGTCAAAAGCATATAGTAAAAATATTTTAATAATAGCATTTTTTCCGTATTCGATACAAAGAGACACTTTACAGACAGGTATACTAAAACTGAATTTCTTTACTGTATTTATTACTGCTTCATATTATAAAATGGCATTGAAACACTTTCGAGGTAACTGATATTACCATTGTGTGACCACTGTTTTCGTGCTTTACGTTTATACAATATTCCACCGATCACGGGCGATTGCGATCTAGCTAGTTTGCCGCTCGAAACGGAAACCGATAGGCTAAATATCGAAAAGGAGGCAGCACGGGCACATCACTACTCCCGCCGGCTCGCAATAGTGAGTGATACGCGCTGAGCCAATTAAAACGTTTTTACGCGTCCACACATTTGAACGCGATAATATTGGGCCGGTTAACGCGGGCGGCCGGCGGCGGGGGCGCTCTCTACCAGCCCCCGCCATTTGTTGAACATTTTCCGTGTAAAAGCTTCGGGCGTATTGCGCGCCACGCAGATTTTTCCCAGCGCACCGTGATAGAGGTCTGTTTGTGCGGCGATTCCTTCGAACGCCAACAGTGAGGGGGCTGGTCTTGTGACTTGAATGTCACTTAGAACGGATATGATACGGTTTCGGACAGATTTTGTGTTCATGTTGTATCGTGACAGTCTCCGAAGCAACACCCGTGTAAACTATGCGATTAATATTTTATGATAAAATTAAACATACGTTCACAAAAATAGAGTACGGGCCCGAGGCAAAATTAATGCCTTATTATTGTTAAGTGATTGCCTTAGTGACTAAAGATATTTTTTATAAGTAAAAAAAACAGCATCCGCTGTTGCACGTATAGACAGTGGGGAATACTAAGACCTCGCAGGAGACCAGTGCGATTTGGAATTCAGTATATATATAATATCACAGTTTGGCTTTTGTCTGTTGAGTAAGTATACAGTTCATATCTCGGTGCCGGCATCCATGAAATTGTTAATTTTAAGTGATGACCTATCACGTGCTCAGCAGTGAAGAAAAACATATTGAGGAAATCTGCAATATTTTCGAAATAATAACGAAAAAAATGTTTCAAAGGCATGTGAAGTCTGCCAATTGGCAGTGGGGCCGCGTGGTGGACAATGCCCTAATACTTTTTACAGAGGAGGCGGTTGCCCGGCAGTGGGACATATATAGGCTCATAATTTACTTTACTGATTGAGGCGATCTAGGCCAAATCTCTTGAAGGTTGGCAACGCTCAACGTGCTTCTGGAGGTTTTTAATTGTCGAGGGCAATCACTCGACATCAGGTGGTCCGCCTGATGTCGAGTAATTGTCCGCTCGCTCGCGACTGTCTAACATAAAAAGCGGCCCACCGCGCATAAGTGCATCCCCGATCGGGCCGTTTGTACAAGCGGAAGCGCGGGGAAGTATTAAAAGCGGGACACAAAGCGGTCATTGTTCGCCAGATCGCAGTGGTCCGTACAACAGAGTAAAGTGGAGCGCTCCATCTTCTGATTAAGCACTAACTCAACGGCCGCTGATTGCCCCGCTTTGTTATGCAAACAAGCTAACGAAAATACAAAATAAAGGCTATTTATAGCGCGCACAGTACAACGGATCGGAAGAAATTTAGAATAGAAAGCGTTGTTGCTTTTTACGGGCGAGCCGAGCGGCGCGCGTTGCGGAATCCGACAACGCTGATGCGAAATACTTATTTTACTATTGTGTATGTGCGTACGAATTGGATGTTTCACCTCAGCAATAAATGACTGGCGGCGTTGCTAGGCTATTGTATTCGGCGTCGGGGGTCGTGAGTTCGATTCCTACACGGGTCGTCGACTTACAAGTATTTTTGTGAACCACCGATACTATTTTATTTCCCTAGGATGGTTGAGGCGGCCGGTCGTAAAAACATAGCCAAAACCGCATACAAGATGACTCCCATGTTGTGCCGAACTCACCTAGGTGGGAAAGAGGCAGGATGATGATGATGATGATGACCTCGGCAATAAATAAGAGTGGTCGTGGTGGCAGAAAGAGCTACGTTGCCAATACAGCTCGAAAATACATGAATACTTCGAGCATTCCTGTTACTTATCTCAGTGCGTTTCGAAATAACAGCGATTTTTTTCACATATCTAAGTAAATATAATAATAATAATGTAACACAACAAACGTAACAACGTCATTTACTATTGAATACTATTTTCACAGTCCTTGTATTAGAATAAGGTAAGAAGCTCGTTTTAGAAGCTCCTTAAGAAGGCTTTTAATCGGGAGACTTCTTACACTCTAAATGTGAACCCTATGCAATCCGTATTTATTTCAATCGAGAGATGTCTTATGCTCTAAAAGAAAATGTCCACCGCTGCAATGTGATGATACCTTAAAGGCTACACTCAAAATGGCAGAAGCAAACTCAGAGCGCGGCGAATTGACGCGCGTCATAAGCCGTCTGCGCGTCGTCGCGCGTCGGCTAAATGATCGACGCGATGAATTAAATTCCCTGTAAAACTCGACGATCGCCGATCAACCGAGGTGGGGATCCAATTAAAATATCACAGTGCGAATTGATTCGCGTAGCGAGGAGCGCGCGGTCTGCGCGGCCGACGAGTGATTGACTTTCACGGATTAAGTTAATTACGATCAATATGCAAAACGAATATAGTTAAAACATGGCCGTGGCGGCGTCGCCCCCGCAAAACTGCACCCTGTCGCACCGGAAATAAGGGCCGTTTCCTCTGTCTCCCTGTTTGAATACTTTTAATTCCGTTCGGAACGTTCGCAACTCGAGAGCCATTGTATCTCAAAGATGCATTAGCTATAATTGACTTGATGAAGACGATGTTATGATACTTATTTTTTTAATATTAATTGCATACTTTTAAAATATCGCCGTATCGATTTCATTTGCCGGTAGATATAAATTAGACTGTAGACGGGAGGCTCGAGTGCCGGCGATTAGTGTGACTTTTTAATGAGATTATTAAGCATTTTTATTTACGCTATTGCTACTGCTTTATTTTTACACGAGGTCATGTGAAATCCCTGACAGTTACAAACTCCTCGGTGCCGTTCCCTCGCGCTTATCGCGCCCCGGGACCAGAGAAGGCTTATGAAGCCACATTCTTATCAGTTGTCAAAGTTACACATACACACATTGGACACGTAAACGAATGGGCAGACCGAAATGAACAAGCCCATATAGTCGGCAATCGCTTTAATTGCCTAAATACAATTTTACATACTGCGCGGTCTGACTGACACTTTGACGTTCGATTTATTAGCAGCCGCGTATCTAGAGAATTCAAATCAATGCCCCATTTGGCCGCGGACGAAAATAGACCCTGTGACCGATGCAAATAGGGCCGCGAATCCATCGCGCGCACGGCGCTCATTTAATTTTGACAAATTTAATATAGGCTTCCATTTCCATCGCCCCGTATCGCGAAATAATTATGTTGATGAACTATCAATGATAGATTCGCATATGTGTCGCGAATATTTCGAAGATGGTTTATTTGTATCGATCGGAAAAAACTTGTACAGTTATTTCATCAAGCTCTTAAAGTGCGCTGATAACTAAATGAATGTAGGTTCTTAAGAATGGGACCTTTAATCATACACGAAAAAAAAATGTGTATGAGAATTTATTTTTTACCATCAATACAAATAGAGGTAACGATTTATGCACATGCGACAATATTAAACGACGAGTACCTACCTCGTTTAATATTGTTTCAGAGTAGTGAGGCCTTTAAATGAACGGCAAAACATCTTTGTAAAACATCTAAACTAGATTTGATTCTGTAGTTATTTGTAATTTATACAATATGTAATTTATAATTATTTTTAATTTTTGGTTGATGTTATAAATAGATGGATGTCTTTAAAGCCTAGCGAACTAGGCCATCAAGTTCTGCCTCACACTGTATAACGTAAATTCGAATGTATGTACGTACGTAACTTGGCACACAACGGAAAACGATGGCATTAATAAAACAAAACAAATGAGGGACGGCGCTAATAAAAGAAACAAAAAGTTTCGTAGCTATTAGATATAATTCACCCGCAGCCATCGCCACCGGACGGGGGGAGGGGGTGAGTAAATAAAACGGAACGGAAAACTTTTATAATTAAGTTATTAATGGCTGTAATAAATTACAGGACTTTTACAGTTACCTCCTGTTTATATCGCCCGCGTATTGCCCAACGTTTTTCGTCGTCTGTCCATCGCACGTAGGAGGGCTGGTACTGCGTAGGCTGGTCCAGTATTAATTCAATCATTGTAATGTGCCAACAACCGATCCATAACTTGCTACGAACAAGTTATTAAGGGGATCGAGCTTAGTTTTAGCAAGCGCATTTGGCTGATGCGATTATGTACGGGATTATCTGCATTACAAATTTCCATTTACCAAGCAAGAGCGTAAAATTAGAAGGGTCGTATTGGATGTTGATGAATAGCGTGGTAAATTTAAGAGTTTTACCATTATTTATTGGTAAACAATTCCGGTTTGGGGCTGACTATAATTATTTGAAGCTTGTCTCGCTGTATCAAAAAACAAAGATGAGGAATAATTTTTCTTTACTTATTGATCAGACGAAAATATCAACAGATTTATTAAAAAAAAATTGCCGTAAACGTATCCAACTCAAGTGAGTAAAGTCTCCAAAACACTGCATTAATGAAACACCATCACCTCATAATATGCCTGCCAACAAAAATGCAATGTAATAAAGGGGCCAACATGAAATTTTTTATTATTACCGGAGAACAAGTCGGCGCGCGAGGGCGCCGCCATTTTATACGTTGGTGTAATTTTGAAAATAATCGATCCCGCACCCCCGAGCACATTAACGACGGCTGTTCTAAGGGGGAGTCGACGACCAAATTTTTATCATGCATATTTTTTAATTTTATTCCCGACTCCCCCACCGGCGGCCGGGCCACCATGTGCCGGTATTAAATCAATACTCGTCCGTTGCGGCCCGTTGCTCTATTTGCGGGGGCGCAGTGAGCGTTCGGCGCTCACTTCCTCTTAGGACTACGCCGCGCCCTCTAACGGACATTTGTACGCCACCGTGGTCTCAAGAACTAACTCGCGCGAATGCTTTACAGCATTCTGCGGGCCAGCGGAATGCCTTCGGCGTTCGGTATCTACGTCAATCAGAGGGGGAGCACAACTTTTACGACGCCTATGCGTTTCGGTGGGGCGGCGCAAGCTTGTGTCCGCTTCGTTCTCACCCGGTGATAGCGTTACCGACTCGGTAGCCGTGGGGGGTACACCTCCCCCCTCCATGCACCCCTGACAAAGCCCGGAAAAAATAGAAGCAGTGAAAGTCGTGACGCTTTTTCGTGGCCTTTTTTGGCCGAGTGCGCAGCGAAAAAAAACCAAAATGACAAACTAAAGGGCGCTCGGATTTGTAACCCACCGTTCTTCTCTCACTTAGCTTTACGGGCAGAGGGCGGTCCGAAAAAATATACTCAATACTCAGCCAGCACGAACTGCGATGCGTCCACGGGCGACACTGCTACGAATCGTCAGCCAATCACAAAAGTCTAGTAAATACGTATAGAAGTTAGTAATGACTTAGCGGAAACAGGGTGGTAACCTATAATGCCGTCGAACCGAGCGTAGGTGTGCCTCGACCCCGGTTAGAAGGCAGTCAGGCTGTGCTGTCAGCGTCCGCAATTCCCGCGCGCTTAACATCGCCGTCCAAATTCGTCGTTTATTCGTTCAATCTCACATAACGTATATATGGCGCGTTTGCCGCCAATCTCTGAGCTGTGCCGAACGCCGAAATACCGCGGCACATCCCTCCCGCACCTGGCGGCACCGGGCCGGGCTCCGAGCATCCCGTTGCCGGCAATTGGCGTGTGCCCGCGATCGCGATGATTGAGCGCATCCAATTACCGCGCATGCGGATTGCGTGGATCGTAACAAGCGCCGCGGGCCCCGCGCCACCGTCTCAAGTAGGTCCGAACGATCGGCACAATGGACGCGTCCGCTGCGGAGTTCCTGCCGCGGACGGCTAAATTGCGCGCGGGGCCGGCGAGGTGACGAATCGGCCAACGAGACCGTTCGCACTCGACACTTTAGCCACTAAAGAGTGATATGCCATCGGCCAGCCCGTCACATCGGCCGAGTCGCGTAATTCAATAGAGTGGTTACCAAATTTGGTGTGAAATGGTAATGATTAGCTCACGGTCCATGATCGCCTCGACACGAAGGGCACTTGAGAATAGACGCTACGCGTCTACCGATTCGATTGAGCGTATTCTAGATTTGTTCATTTCCTCACGAATTTTTTTCCGCACCGCTCTGAGCTAGTCAGTTGACATTAATAATTTCGTGGCCACTCTAGTATTTGAACTTTAATGTCATTCACTTATATTCAATGGATATATCACTTATATTAAAACGCGTGTGCGTGTATGAATCATAAGAGTAATATCATACAACATTTAAATTAAAAAGCATTGAGCTAGTGAACACAGTTTACAAATTACACGTTATACGAACTACCGTCATACTTTAACGTTCTTAAGAAGTAATTGCCTCCCGTCTATTTGTCTTTCGTAAATTTTTAATAAGTATAGAGTTATAAATAAAATACAGTCGGGAAGATTAAACAAAGAAATGACTTTGGGCTTGGAAGTTAACTCTTTGATATACTTTGCGATGTCTCCAGAAATTTAAGTTAAAGCATTTGAAAAGTCTGTGATGCCGCAGTAATGAGGCCGTCGATATAATATGTTATAGAAGTCGTTTGCCTTTATTCGTTTTTAGAATAATTCTAACATTTTAACATATTGTTCGGGTTGCAATTGTTTTAAGTCAATTAGAGTGCGGACAAACTATAAAAATTAGCATCCATCATCGATTTTCAATTACCCTGGTCATTAATACGCTTTCGTCTTCGGTTAAGCACGGTGCTGACGTATTTTCGTACGCGACATGTCTATTACTTTCATGTGTCTGCGTCCGATGCCCCAGACTAGAAATGTCCACAGTAATGACAAAAGATTGTCAAGAAAGGTTCCGGGAAAGAAGTATTGTGACTCACAAAGGTTCTAAAGCCGAGCTTTAATGTCAAATCAAATATCCAATGGTAGTGAGGCAGGCGTGCATGAATGATGTTGGCATCGCGGCGAGGATATTTCTATAGCATTAACATCTAATAAAGAAGGGAGAAATTTTTCCACTGCAATACCTTAACACATTGTGAGCCCACAAGTCGAATTAGGAAAATAAACAAAAAGCTGACGGTAGTACGGGTTAGGTTAGGTTATAGCTAATATATATATATATATATTAGAATGTAAAATATTCAATCCGCTCCTCGACTTATTTGTTCCAAACTTCAAAAGTTAATTGTTTAAAAATAAATTTTGGTTAATTAAAAACCAAATTCAAGAGCAACGGTACAATTCGCGAAATAGATTTTAAAAATAACACTGAACACTCATACCAATATCGGCTGTCGAGAGGGCGGCCAAACTCATCGACAACATCACACCGACAGCGTAACTTGTTAAAAGTTCAAGTGTCCGCACCGGCAAATGAGCAAAGCGATATGAACTAACCGGTTCGCGAACTAAATGAAGCGCGGTCAAACGGAATCGAATACAAATCTGATAGTTCGGCTGCAAAGGGGTTACCTTTTGAAAACAAATATTTGCGCTCCGTTCAAAAATGCGCAGTGGAGTCGAGGCTTATCGGGGTAACATTTTTTACATGAGAAGGTAGAAAGCGGAATGGCGATTTGGCATTTTTGTTAAGATGTGTCGAAGATACGGCAGTCAAGTGCAGGCCAGTATTGAATTAAAAAAAAAATGAAAAAAAAAAAAAGATGTGTTGCCATCGTTAAAGTGGGCCTCGATTGCCTCATCCGCCAGACGAAACGAGGGACCCACGCCTTCACGCCGGTCTTCTGTGAGCATGAAGGAAACTATACCCCGAATATAATGCGTGTATTTTTTTTCCTTTATTTGATGGGGGGAACTGTTATAATGCGTGTTATTAAATGCAAAGATTTAAGACGGGCCCAATTGGTGGTTAAGGAACTGCACCAATAACACATGGGAATAATAACACCATTCCGTCACATGACAGCCACCTACTGAAAAGCGCAGTCGAGAAAGTCCATCGGCCGGCTCCGATGTCTACAAAAACGACAGATTTGCGATCTTTTCAGTCTCACGGCGAACACAAACATGGCATTATAATAAAAAATTTAACTAACTACACGATGTCACGCGTAGAGTGTGTACCAAGACTAGTACGAGAGAACTGCTGGATTGAAAAAGAAAGTGCATTTCAGGCACGGAAAACGCTCTTCAAACGCACTGATAAACAACACTTGACAAGTTTATTTTTTAAACCACATGACAAACGCAAATGGGCCACGGAAAGGTTTACGCGGAGCCGTTTTGCAAACTTTCAAAATAGTTGAAATATTTTACCGACGAAGCGAAATCCAAATTGTGCATAAAAACATCGCGAGTAAGCTTAAAATTTTGAAATCGCTTCCATCCTTAGAGTTTTTAACTTTTATTCCCTATTAATAATTAGTTTAAATGCACTGCGTAAAAATATAAAGCGACACTTGAACATTTACGCTTTTCGCGGGAAAAAATCTACTAACGTCGAACTTTCGCATTAATTTCTGTACGCACTAAGTACATCTACTAAGTAGACTTAACGAAAGGCCCGATTAAGGGCTACATTATTGTAACATTACACAGAATTAACCAATAGATAATCGAGGAAAGTGTATGAAAAACGCGGCATCTGATGTTAAATGTTAACCGGCGCATTGACATTTACAACACCGCGTTACAGACGCGTTGCCACCTTTTAATAAAGTGGGCCCCGGCTACCTTATTCACGAGGCGAAACCCAGTAGCATAACACTTCCACCTCACGCCGGTCTGTGAGATGGTGTTACTCACCTAGACGGACCAGCCAGCCCATTTGTGCACAGCGGAGACTCTACTACAATGAAAAATAGTTGCTTTGAAACTCAACAGCTTTTTTGTTCTTCACATATTATCGTTCTAAACGTGGCATTTAAATACATTTCTTTGGCAATAACGTCATGATACAATGGTAAGCGAGTTATTTACATAAACAATAATTTAATGGGGTTACAGTGTACAGTGTAGGTTAATGAGCCGTAATTTCTTAGTGTCCGGGCGCTCGCCTTTAATTCGATAAACACGAGCAACCTGAGCTCGATCTCCGGTGCCGGCACCAACGAAGGTGTTAATTTTAAAAGCTGAATTATCACGTGCTCAGCGGTGAAGGAAAAACATCCCGAGAATACCCGCATATTTTCGAAATAATAATAAAAAAATATTTCGAAGATATGTGAAGTCCGCAGTGGGGCCGCGTGAGGAACTATGCCCTGATACCCTCTTTATAGAGGAGGACTTTGCCCAATGTAGTGTAGAGTGGGACATGTATAGGCTGACGATACGATACTTTACAGTGTAGAGGGCCTTTATTCTACTCAAATTATAAAAGTTAAAAAGGACTTAAGTTCCCTCCATTCTCCGGCGTCGATGCGGACTTCCTAACGAGTGTTTCGTAAAATCGTCTCGATTGTTTGCTATTTCATAAAGGATAGTTTACTTTATGAAATAACAAACAATTGAGAGACGATTTTTCAGAAGACAACGAAGCGCAAAGTTCGCAAGTGTTTCGTATCGAATAAAGTGCTTGGGACAACTTCGAATTCCTCGGAGAGTTTGAGAGAACTTTCGAGTATTGAAGACAAGACGCGCCGTCTAAAAAGAGTCGGCAACGATCAAAGTGTACGATGGCCCAATTAAAATACATCTTACATTTTCCCCATTCATTATACAGACATACGAAATCAGGGCAAAGCATTTCAAGTTCTGCTCATCAGCTATGAGCGTTTGATATCTCAGAGTAATAAAAGAAAATCACGATCGATCAGAAATAAAAGTGGGAATTGACGCTGGTAACCGGTAACAAGAAAAATAAATAAGAATAAATTTTAAAAGCATTTACAGCGTGTTATAAATGAATTCAAAATTGCATTTGACACGGCTCTAATTAATCAAAGAAGAACTTAACTTATGTGCGTTTTCGTTCTTGTTTAACGGTACAAGTTAAGAAAGGGTGACAACACCTGTTTTACAAATGTCAATTTGCACGCGTGCAATAAATGCCGCTTAGGTTTGATGAGCGGTCTTAATATTATTGACGGGACTATGAAATTATTCATCGTACTAAAGAAAAAGCTGCCAATGAATGACACGTTCGATAGCTTATGTCTTATTCAATACAAGTAAAATTTAATGATGGGGCTTTCTTTCGAGTATCGTATCAATAATAAGACTAAAGAAAAACCCGTACAATATAACTTCCTAGAGTTTTGTCTTGCAATATTATATAACTAAAGAAGTTTCAATCCATCAGCTGATGTGTGTGATACACGAGCTGTGAAATTCGAATATCAATAATAATTAGTTCTCCGCTTTTTGGGTTTCATTTTCCCTTTCGTGTGGCTAACGTCACATACTGTCATATAGTGCATACTGTCCAGCTCCAAGAGTTAATAAGCAGGACCGGTATGGCAAAAGAGAGTAAAAATCTTCACGATAACGAATACACAATGACTCCTCGTCGTTCAAGTCTGTATGCCACCGACGTTCCTGATGCAGCACTGAGGGGTCGATATAGATTCCTCACTAGCCTTTATTGTTTTCCATCTAATTTTCACAGTGTACAAAATTCATAAATGGGGGGTAGTGGTAACTCTTAGAACTCCTACACGTGCCCCCTGGGTGGTGCTAATTGAAGACAACGCCGAGCATCGGTCGGCGGCTAAGTAAGCCGACTTATGTGGCCTGTCACAAGCCCAGAAAAATGGAAACATTTTCTGAATGTGTCGAGCTCGCCAATAAGTGTGACTGTCATGGCGGGTATCAAGCTAAATACCTACCTGATAATTAAAAACTGGAGAGGCACGCAATGGTGTTCAATGTTGCGCGAATGGGTGGACCTGCCCATGACCACCTGAACTGGACCGGGTAAGTGCCACGACCTCACAGAAGACCAGCGTAAAGTAGAGGTTTTACATTTCTGTGTTTCTTCTGGTGAGTGAGGTAGCCGGGGCCCACTTTATTTAAAGGTGGCAATGCTTCTGCAACCCTACGGGTGTTGCAAATGTCCATGGGCGGCGGATATCACTGAACATCAGGTGATCCGCCAGCTCCTTTGCCACTTTGGCACATAAAAAAGAAGACCCGTTGAAGAAGAAGAAGAAAATTCATAAACCAAGGTCATTTGGTAAGCACGCTGGTGTAGAAAAAGCGGTTAGGGAACTTTATACAGCGCACTGTCGACGTGTCATTGGAAATAAACTGCATTTGCTCTAGAAGATCTTCGATAAAATGGTAAAAAGAAAAAGGTCCTAAATTCGCGATGGTATTAGCAACGCCTTGAACTGGCTGGTGAACCGCTGTTCAACGAGTTCAAGATCAAGATAGGAAATATCGACGAGCGTGTAAAATTGAAACGTCCACATCACGCCGTCAAACGACTAAATGACATTTGATCAATGTTTCATTCGAATTAAAAATGCAACAGAACTGAGCGCATGCGATGCAATGGCCGTAGCTATTTTGCCTCGTCAATCGTTTGACCGCAAAAGTGAGTGTCCCTTTTAGTTAATAATAATTGATATCTCACTGTCCGGGCGCTCGTTTCTGATTCAATATACTCGAGCAACCTGAGTTCGATCCCGGCACCAACGAAATTGTTAATTTTAAGTGCTGACTTATCACGTGCTCAGCGGTGAAGGAAAACTTCGTGAGGAAACCGTGCACATTTTCGAAAAATAACAAATATAATATTTAGAAGATATGTGATGACCACAAATCCACAGTGAGGTCGCGTGGTGGACTATGCCCTAATACTCTGTACAGAGGAGGCATTTACCCAGCAGCGGGACATATATAGGATGTTAATAACCTTTTTAACATTCAAGATGCAAAATGGATTACGTGCAAACTTGGAGCGACACCGCTGAGCGTGCGTTACGCAACCGCCCGAGCTCATCGTGCCGATGACAATGCCAGAGTAAGTGCGGCCGATAAATCACCTCTCCATAGCACTGCTTAAATTCATCCACCCCCGCTATAAAAGGGCAATTATAAATTCGACCACACGACCGTGCGAGCGCGGGCGATACCTAAACTAGCCCTCGCAACAGCTCGCTCCGCAAACGCAACGGAGCTGCGATCGTGCGCAGTGCCACAAAACGTTCGCACTGCGCACGCGGGGCAACTGCGCCAAGATGGCCGCCGCACGTCAACCCTACCCGCGACATTTCACATTAATTCTGCGCCCCATTGTTCAATCGCACCCATTATAATTATATCGAGCTGCCCGTTACAATACAACTAATCCGGTGGACCCGTAGCGATCTAATGCGAGCGCTTCGCTGCGGGGGTTGGGCTGCGACACGATTTTGTTATATCAATAGCGGACGGCAAGCTACATAAAAATTAGACATCAGTTTGTGAATTAAATTCCTTTATTATTCATAGAAAAAAAAATATGCCTCATAGAATATTCGAATGACCAACTGACCCTGCAACTTAAATAATTCCTTCAACTTCAAGTAAAGACTCCCGCCCAACCGTTAAGTTGCGTTGCAAACACATTCCAATCGCTTCAATAACATATGGAGTCCAATAGCGTTTCCGAGAGTTTTGTAATCGATCTTAAAATGTATTACACGTTTCTAGACCAAACAACAGTGAACAATACACTGTCTTTTCATATCGAATTACCATATTCAACGCGAGTTTCCTGTGTAGTCGCATGTTGAACAATACACTTCAGCTAGCTTCTCATCGCAGTATTTCTTACACGCAATAAATGATATATTTACACTATACACTAATATTTCTTTGCAAATGACACTACATTGGAGAAAATAACAAATTATGTTATTTTGTTTCATAAAATCTGCTATTTAACTTCTAGTAACTAGAATCGGCATTTAATTTAATTAATTTAATACAAATAATATGCAATAAATAATATTTTAAATTGTAACCCTCCATTGACAATTATATTTGTAATATTTGACTCATTACGACTTTAAAAACTTACTAATAACTATCTTATCAAACATAGAAATTCGTTAATAACAGTAACTGGGAATCACTCGATACTTAAAAAACAAGTCCAATCATATCACATAACTTTTCAAACTTTTCTTTTGAGGACATGTTTCGAAGAACTGAAAGGAAAGTTTTAAAATAACCGTGATTTGTGGGTAATTAAAACAAATTAACAGTCGAAAACTGTTAATTATTCGAAACTTCCTTTAAGAAATTCATTTGCCTACCATTAGGTGTGTTGTTATTTATTCCGATAAAGAACAAATTTCTAAATTTGTTAGAATCAAATTACAAGTGTTCTAATAAAACATCAAAATTACGTACGTAATATTCGGAATTCTGTTTGGAATCATCTTTAAATCGTCCTTTTTTAACCTCCGACGTAAAAAAGGGATATTATAAGTATGACGTGTCGGACTGCGTGACTGTTTGTGGCATTTTAGTTTCTAAAAGAAGAGAATAGAATATGATGCGGATTCTTAACTAAAAGCTAGTTCAAGCATTCACAAAAATTAACACTGTAAAAAATGTTACAATGTCATTACAGAACTATGTATTCAAAATCAGAAATTTCCTCAAGATCTTCCCTCCTTTATCAGGGCGCCCCATTCTATTACCTTGAAAGAATAATAAATATAAGTTCATCGAAATTAAAAATATGCCTGAATATTTTACTTGTTTACGTTGCTACGCACTGTTGATAGAAGTACAAATTTAGCGTGTTTCTACGTAATTGATAATAATTAAAAGCGAAACCAAACGCCCCGCCGAGTGCGCTGCCGTCATTAGTGACAACGCGTCCCTTCAAGGCGGCCGTAATCCCGTAATGAGCAATTCTAAATGCACCTAATTAGCGGGCCGTAAAGTCGTGAGTACCAAAGCGGAGGCAGTTCATCGAAAAATCCGCGAACCAGGCGGCGTGCCCATATATTCTAGCGCGCACTTTCTGAATGTAAATTAGCCTCGAAAGGCTGCCGGGCTCGTATTACCGCCATAGAAGGCATTCACGCAGTGTTTCGCTAATTCATAAAATCGTCGAGGGGGCATGTTTTCACACTTACGTCAATCGGCGCGTGAGCTAAGTAAATTCATAGTGCTCCAACCGGCGGACTAATTTAATGAGAGTCCTTTTCACCGGGCCACGCCTCGGGGGCGTCACACGTTGCATTAAAATGAGATTAACGCTCAAATGTTATAATTGCGCTCCTCGGCGTGTCTCCGCGGAAAGCCGCCTTCGCCCGGAATCTACCTAATTATTATTTTTTTAAGTTCTCCAAAAGAGTTGTTCATCTTCCACTCTCCGGTTGTGCGTGACCCAGTTCTTCTAGGCGTTTCGATTTAAATTTAAACATGGCACCCGCGTTCGCTTCTCGTCATTTGCGGGCTTCCATTGTCCACACATTGGGCCCGCTCGATCGTGGCTTGATGTGCAAATCTGATAAAACGTATAGGAGAAAGGAATGGAGGGCACTTGAGGAAATCTATCGTGCACGAAGTCATTGCTCTCAGACTACTTCGGCTGCGACGCAAGCTAGAAACAATATTGACCGTCGTATAGACGGCGTCACACATGAGACAAGCAGACGGGGTGAGAGGCGCGTGGTTCGCGCAAATTGTCGCACCGTCAAGGGCCGCGGCGGGGACGGCGCGAGTGGCGTCGCACTCAATACAAGCCCGCGGCCCTCGACGGAGGCGAACGCGCGCGGATGCTTTTGAGCGCGATACTATTGTACTACATTATTCCGTAACGACGCGTCCGCTCAATTTGCCGCCGCGCCGACAGCGAACGCGTCGCGCGGCGGCGGAACACGCTCAAAGCCCCCATTATCCGGCGCGAAACGCCCGCCGCGCTCAAGCCCCGCCGCCCGCACACGTGCTAAAACCACAAATTAAGAGACAATCCGCGCCGCGATGTGCCACTCGGCTTTTTTCCACAGAGCCCGCGCTAAAAGCCGCCGGTGCAGCGACCCGTGTAAATAAATGCAGCAGCGCCGACGCGACACGAATAAAGCCAAACGCCACCGAGAACCTGAAAGCGGTAATTGCGTATAGAAAAAAATACGCAGGCACTAAATAAAAATTTGCTGTTGTTTTGACGCCGACGGAAACCTATTTAAGCTGTTCCGCTCTCCTACGCTTCTGTGGTAGGGCCACGCAACAGTCCTCGTAAAGACGTTTTACATACATGAATTACAATCCACAGTCACAAAAATAGTTCCCCCATATGGGAATCGAACCCACGAACCCCTACGCCGAAGCCAATACCTTGACAACTGCACAACGGAGTCGCCTCATAATAACATAATATATAAATAAAAACAAATGGCGCTTGACGGAGTTGAATTGGGAGTTGAAAAAACTGACGATCAGTACAAAATTGTTCGTAAGCTTTTTCACAATGCTTCATGACAATTGCAACCAACAATGCGATAACCAACTGTTAGTTCCATTACCAACGGCACGCCACGGGTCCCGTGTAATTGCAAGGAAACGGTTATAGTGTCCCGAAATTAGTCAACGTCAGGAAAACTGCAAAGTTGGCGGCTCGCAAGTTGCATTATCTCATTACGACAATTAAAATGCAATTAAGACGGCCGCACAGAGGAACCACTCTCGCATCGGGAGGGCGTTTAAAACAATTTACCACAAGTGGCACTTTAAACAAATTCGCGGTACAAATGGAGCGGTGCCGTCTCGGCGTGGCCGAGGCAAAAACCCGAGCGAAGACGTCGAGTTCCGTAGGATAGTAAAAAAGATCTTCCGGAAGAACCGCGACTGATATTCCTACGCGAGATGATAAAATTGGACTTAAAAAATGTGTGTACGTATGATACTTATATTAGCGAAACAAAAGAAGAATAGGTGAAAATTTCATCCCCCGTGCCTCTTCGTTTGTGAAAAAGACATTAAATGCAATCGATAACGGTTTAACTTGGAACTATATGTAAATGGCAAAAAGTTGCTATTGGTTGCCATGGTGATACCGTGAAGTTGGTCGCTGTACAACCATGTCGCTTCTTGGACGTCGATGTTAAAAGTTTTACTCCCATATTTTTTTTCCGAACGCGCCTAACGAAATATAACTTTAGAAAATTTAAGCTCCGGGGATCTCTGAGACTATTAATAGCCGTCTCATTACAAAACATTATAAAACGTAGTGGTTGCAAAGCAAGCGTTTAGACTCACCACTGCACCCGTCACACCGTGGGGTACTTACCTGTAATCAGAAAAAAGATCATTGTTAGCCTAATGAAGTAATTGGTCCAGAATTAACAGACGATTTCATGAAAAAAGGAAATAATAAAATGAAAATAAAAAATAATCAAAACATAATTAGTACTGCTGACAATAACGTAATTATTAGTTCGATTGTCTTGTTGCGATTGAAAGTATATAATTAAGTATGAAGACATTTCAAATAATATGAGGTTTGTAAACGTAATAATGAAAACGTGTACCTACTGTTTTTTTCATGTGACAAATTTGCAAACGAGCTGGCGGTTCACCTGATGTTAAGTGATTTTTGCAGCGCATTTGCAACACCCTTAGGGTTGCAGATGCGTTGCCACCTTTAACATACCAATAGATGCCTCTATTTATTTCTATCTGTTTAGGTCAATCTACATCTCCAAAGTTTTAAAAACTGTAAAATCGTAACTTATTAAATAAGTACCGAAATATTCTTTAATCTATATCTAACGAGATCTGTCTAACATATTTTTTTGTAACAGCGCGTGAAAATAATTGAGTCACAAATACTAATTGTGTAAGTTTAGTTTATGACTAGCAACAAACAAACGACTATACTGGGTAGCGTGGACAAGTCGATAGTTTCAATTTCTATATTCTTCCGATTCGAATTTCTAGATTGCTCTAATTAAAATTTCTAGATTCTTCTGATTCGAATTCCGAGATGCTTCTTATACAAATTTCTAGATTCTTGTGATTCGAATTTCTATATTCGTCTGATTCAAATTTCTAGACTCTTCTGATTCGAATTGTCGCGGCGTGTAAGCCGACGAGCGGTCGGGTCATGAGTGCGACGCATGTCCGGCCCCTTCGCCGCTCCAAATTGATTTTAATTTAATCGGAACGGCAACATCAAGTCGCCGCGGGCCTAAGAACAACGCCATCGTCCAATTCATTCTAATCGCGGCCGAGTTTTAAAGAGGCGCATCCACGGAGTCGTTTCGTCTTAACAGTTTAATGTGTTTACGCGAGCGTCGCGCATTTGTTTTTAACGGATATCATTCCGGTTCATTTAAATGTGATTTGAGTTCCCGACGATCCCGTACATCCCGCCGCATTCATGGTCATGGGTGGAAGACGGCACCGTTTAATGAGTGAATTGTATAAAAGTTAAAGTATTATAAAGGAGCCGTGATAGCTCAGTGTCCGGGCGCTCGCCTTTAATTCAAAATACTCGAGCAACCTGAGTTCGATCCCAGGTGCCGGCACCATTGAACTTTTTAACTTTAAGTGCTGTCTTATCACGTGCTCCGCGGTGAAGGAAAACATCGTGAGGAAACCTGCATATTTTCGAAATAATAACAAAAAAATATTTCGAAGATATGTGAAGTCCGCCAATCCGCAGTGGGACCGCGTGGTCGACTATGCCCTGATACCCTCTATATAGAGGAGGCCTTTGCCCAGCAGTGGGACATGTATTGGCTGTTACTTTACTTTTTTTATAAAGGCAGCTCGAAACATATGCGGTGAATAATAACGCAATATACTATAAACTTTCAGACAATTTTCGTAGACGCGTTAGGTTACACAACTATTTTTCAATACATGATGTATATATATATAATAAGTGCGGTGGAGATTTGAATCGACGCATCCGGATAGACGTGTATCTCGGAATAAAAATCGTAGATTATGCTTTCTCTGAACAATCATTTATCGTGCCAACTAGATGGGGTGCTTCTGAGGTGATATGATATAGATTGGACCACACGTGGGGAAAGCCGTCAGCGATAGCTATATCGCAAAGGAGATAAGCGTGCTAAGTTAACTAATGGCTGAAAACAACGCGAGTGTCTCCGAACTGCAGCAAATAACAAAGACCTTACTGCCAGACGGCACTACAATGAATATTTTGCGATCAAAAGTGGGTGAACAAACAGACAAAAACACAAACATGGAAACATTAATTCATTTCAGAACTAAGTACTCTATTAATAACTGGTATATTTAAGAAATAAGAAGTCTCGATTTATATCGCCACTAGTTCGGCATAACGTATTTTTTCCTGCAATAATTCCTCCCTCCCACCATCGACGAATGCCAGTCGCCGAGAGGACCCAGCCTCTATGTAATTAGACCAATTTAAATCTTAATTAATATTAATTGTTGGACGTCGGAACGAATCTGTCGTACAAAGACTGCCACGGAAAAAGTCATAAATGAATTGAAATAATATTATGTTAAGCGAATTCTCGAGACGAGACGCTGCTCTTTCATTATTCGAGTCCCTTGTTGGGGGACGCTATTTTTCTAATGATAAATCAAACATTCGAAAATTTCGAAACGCAATAATTTCTCAATGTAAAACTTGATATATAAATAGCTTACCCACAACTCATACACAAAAACTTGTATCTATTTGTATACATCGTTCTATAATAATCAGAAATCTTGACCATAAACATGCAAAATTTCATTTTACTTTTCAATCCTTATTTTAAATTAAGAATAACCGCGAACTCTGTTTAACTACCGCCCTTATCTATGTCTTATATAGAGTGACGGTTGGTGTTTCTATACTTAATTACTTAGCGGCGTAAAACTAGAAGTCGCAGCGCGCAGGAACTCGAGAAAGAAAAATAGTGGAGCAAAATATAACATAAAAGGGCGCTTTGAGGTTGTCGGAAAGTGTACGTAATTTGCGTGCGCGTCAAAAGGCTTAGAGGAGATTCGTCGGTGTCGCGTCACGCCCCCACAATAGACGCGATGCGAACTTTCGCAGCTTTTCGTCTAAATTTAAACTTTTTATTTAGTTCGGTGCCGCGATATTAACGCGACATGTGGAATGCCGCAACACGTTTAAACACACACAACTTAATACAGATGTAAACGTGTCCCGTTCGCTCAAAATCACAAACGTCTTCTGTTCACATTTAAACGATGACTCGATAGAAATAAAACTAATTATTTCGCACTTAGCGCTTCGATGTAAACGGACACGCACCTAACGCACCGGAAGCATAATGTAGCATTCGCGACCGTACACACAACGACAGAAGTACTCCAAAGCAAAACCGCGGTCGCATTAAAAATCCGAGCGACTAGATTTGAACAAAACACGGGGGCCCGATTCCGAAACGCCACGAGTCCTCGGTAGGTTTTTATTATATAAGGGCGTCAAAGGCCGTTAAAAAAAGCGGGAATCTGGAGCGCGGCAAAGCGCGGCTTCTGTGACTTAAGCGCACTCCGCGTCACTACTTTGTTCTCAGACTTCTTCCCCGGCCGTGCAGACGACGCACAGTGGAACGGATCGCGCCTCGGCGAGTGCCCGCCCGCTGTTGCCGCTTCAATATGAAATGATGCCCCGGCTCTCTTAATGCGGATGCAAACATTTATTATTCTATTAGATTACTTAGCCGTTTTAATGACGGCGCGCTTTCTTGCCTCTACGTGCGCCGCGTCAGCGATGCGTCACACCTTACAATACGCGACTCCGATGAATGAATTTTGTATTGCTAACAAAAGTCGCCACTTATATTACTATATTATACATATGTAACTAGCGCTTATTTCCATTAGTCCTATGAGGGTGAACAGACAAAACTAACGTTATCTAAGTTTCATCGTGCCAAACGATATGTATTTACAGATAATGAGCTTGAATACACGTTCAATGAATACTTTAGGTGCGAGTACATCACTATGGAATGTTTCCTAATTTGTTCGTACATGTCATAAAATTACCATATAATCATCGTAACGGAACGTTTAATTGAGGCAAAACATTTAATTGTGAGGCATTAAATTTGAAAACGGAACTAACAAAATGCAATACGTAGAAAAAACTGGTAGATTCCAGAATTAATTCATCGCAAATACAAAGATCAGAATCACAAGCGTCTGGTAGACAATTTATATTAAAACAATTAATGGATAAGAATAGAGAGTAGTGGCACGTACCTGGGCCGCTCTTTGTACAATTTAACGAATCGTGCCAGGCACGTGGATAGAAAATTAAACCGAATGTCGTCGTAATAAAGACCAGAATGACCATAACTTTACGGACGGCCACCGTATACGAGGATAAATTATTTTTATTTAGCCATAAATATTAATGAGATAATCCCGCATAATGCAAATGCCGGCCGCGATGTTGGCAAACGAATATAATAATGTAAAGTTTTTTGTCTTTACTTTGGAACACCTGACTTTTGCCCTGGGTGAAGTGCGCGACAGCACCGATAGATGGCGGAGCTAAACAATTTTCAACAATGTAGGTAGCTATTTCACTTTCGTGTTAAAACGCACATTTGTGTGTGCAAGTTTTATGTTAAAGAATATTTGTGAAGTGATAATTAACGAGATTTTAATTTAATTTTCTAAATTATTCTTTCACAATTAATCAAGCCGTTACAGAAATTTATTCGAATGCTAGTTACGTAGCAGACGGGTGCCAAGTTTTGTACTAATTTAAGTAACACTGGACTGGAATTGTTACTTTTTAGTTATTTTATGTGAAGTTTTTATTTTTGTATAACAATACCTGCTCAATGTTTTACATTACTATTATCTATTAATAACGCAATAAATAATCAATTGCATCTGCATGGCTTACTTTTTGTTTTGCTATAAAAATTAATATATTCTCGTGTAAGTTGCCATTTATCATTGCACTTAGATAAACGGCGTGGAAATTGTAGTTATAAAATCACATAGAAAATATACCATAGGTCCTTTGCCATATTAATATAAAAAAACGATAAAATACACGTTCCGTGAAAACATAAAATTGAGCACTTTATACAACGATCACGCTATAATAATTGGCAATGATAAAACACTTTCTACATGGTTACCGTGTTTAAGACACAGCGAAGGAACATGGTAAATGTTATGATGAAAATTGCTAAGACATGTTCGAATTAAATTACCGATGAGGAGTGCGGGATGGTCAAGATCTGAATTTAGTAATTGACGAAGACAGTTATATTAATTACTATCAACTATCAACGGCATTCTGTGTCCCCCCCGTGAATCGTAATCGAATTACTGAGATAATATGAACTGCGTATATTCATAGCAGTGTAAGAAAAAATCTCTTACAACTATTAAGTGAGACAATATATTAATAACACGCCATCTGGAAATGTTAATTCAGTCTTTATACTTTATATATATGAAATAATTTTAATTCAATATACGGTACTCGAGCAACCTGAATTCGATGTCGATGTCGGCCCGAATTAAATTAACAAGTTGAATTATGATGTGCTCAGCGGTAAAAGAAAACATCGTGAGGAAATCAGCATATTTTCGAAGTACCAACCACCACCAACCAATCAGCCTTTTGCAGTCCACTGCTGGACATAGGCCTCCCCAAGGGTACGCCACATAGCACGATCTTCCTTCTTTCCTCATCCAGCCACTACCAGCGACCGTTCTTCGGCAGAGGACCAAAGTTATCGACATAGTCCATAAGTGTAGCAAGCTGAAGTGGCAGTGGGCTGGCCACATCTGTCGTAGAACCGATGAGCGTTGGAGCAGGCGGGTTCTCGAATGGAGACCACGTCTCGGAAAGCGTAGTGTCGGACGTCTCCCTGCCAGGTGGATCGAAGTAATAACAAAAAAAATTTTCGATCCAGCACACAATTATACTAACTTAATTTGGTTTCAACTGTGGTAGACCCAGGCAATAGCCCTCCCTGTAGCACGAATGGGCAGGTCCGTGCGGAGAAGTACCACGACCTCACAGAAGACCGGCGTGAGGTGGAATTGTTACACTTCTGGTTTTCGTCTAGTGAGTGAGGTATCTGGGCCCCGCTTCGTTAAAATGTGGCAACGCATCTGCATCCCTACGGGTGATGCAAATGTCCATGGGCGGCGGTTATCAGTTAGCATCAGGTGAACCGCCTGCTCGCGTGTACCCTCCCACATAAGAAAACTATGATTATGACACTTACCGAGGAACTCTCCAGTCTGTAAGTGTCAACTAGGTTTACGTTATTTTCCATCTTGACGACTTATTTTTGGCAGACGCTATTCCCGGTTTATAAGAGTTAAGAGATAAATAATTCAGATGTTCGCGGCCCGCTGACAGACTTGGTCGAATGCATTTTAAGGCAGATATTTTAAAAATGATTCGCATATAATAAAGGCTAAAATAGACGAAGTTTTTGTTTATTCAGACCAAGATATGATATAATGTTCGCCGTTGTATTGAGCCAGAGCTAAAATCAAGAAACATTCACATATAGTTTTTTAGTTCAAGAGAAAAAAATAATCATATTATGTGTAGTATAAATCTAGAAGTGTTCAATTCATGTGCAAGGCAAATGTATGCTAGTTCTACAAATTGATATTTATTAAAATTCGACTTATCTAGTGTTAAGTCAAACAAAGCATTGCAGCGAAATGTATGCATTCCAGCTGCAAACACATAATAATTGTGACCTACATATAATACTTCAATAATTGTGGTACGCTTACTGTCGCCTGTACTTATTACAATAATGAAAAAAAAAAATGTTTTTTGTCATGTCACTAAAAAGGCGGCAGAAAGCGGTGCGTGCTATAGAAGGCCGGCTAAGACGAGCGACTAAGAGGACACGCCGAGATTCTAGTGGACACGCCACATCATCGGTACAGCACCGCATCAACTCTCCGCGCGTTAACAATGCCCTAAGCGAGACTAAGTGCAGTGCTAATTATTACTTTAAGTATTCATAAAAACGCTCCCTCTTACATTCGAGCCGGAAGGCGGCAAAAACTTCTTTACAAGCGCATCGGACGCCGCAGGGGATTTTGAGCTCTCAGCCCAACTGTGTACGGACTATAACCGCGCGTTGGTTCAGACAGATGGTCCTGTTGGGTCGCCGACTGTACCTGTCGACCGGCAGCTGGTGCTAAGGCCCACTGCATACGCAGTACGCGGGCTGTTGGGCGCATTTCAAGGCGTTTCGTTGCCATATCGATAATACAACGTGATAAAAGCGCGCGTTTCAAGCGCGATGCGATTTGAGGCAGTATGATTAGATACATAAAGAAGCTTTTCGGTTGATGACAACATGCCCGTTAACTTATTTCCCTTGTACATCTTCATCATCAGGTCAGCCGTAAGACGCCCACCGTTGAACATAGGCCTCCCCCTTAGAACGCCACAACGAACGACACTTTGCCATTTGCATCGACCGGTTGCCCGCGAACCTTAAGATAAAAGCTCTTATTAAGATCATACTCGTATTAGCAAACCTTCGTCCTGTTAGGTCATACGGTAAGTTTGAATTAAAAATGTAACCCCTTGAAAATGTAAACAGGCAATATATTTTAGGGTAACTTCTTGTCTCGTGGCTATACGTACATACAAAAGCAGTATCTCGCTACGCCAGTGTGTGGACAGCCTTAATAATTCCGCCCTTCAACTTGGTTATAAAAAGTATAACATCGGCACATGGAACGCCACGACTATACATCGGTCATCTTGTCACACTTTGCCCAACCGCCGAGTGAAATTGTAAACATAACTCGACTCGTTTCAAATCCAACGTCAAAAGTTCCGTTCTATTACGAGGAGCGAGTTTCATTTTAATCACACGACAATGTTATGTATCACGTTAATTAGTTACAATAACGGCAGAATGGAGCTAGACAACCTCCCCGTTCCCACCCCTCCCACGGCCGTCTTATTCCCCCCCCCCCCCTCTCCGAAGGGGGCAAGGAATATTTCAATTTTGCATGTTTACGATAAGGGCGCGGTGCAGCGAGCGAGGCGCACCGGCAACGTGTCATTAGCCGCACATCGACGGGTGAATTTATAGTTAAAAATTATCATGCGGAGAGCGGCGGAGCATTTATTTATTCTTATGCGAGCCCTTGCCTCGACTTGGTCGGCACACGCGAAAGTTCCGACTTCGAATCTCACGGACCGAGCCATAAAACGGACGCGAGACCCATTCGAAAAAGCTTGGCTATTCGTGTTCCATCAAAAAAAATTATAAGGGGATGTATTTTCAAATGGAAACCAGGTCATTTGTTTTATTTCATTTTCTACATTTAAAATAACAATAACAAATGTTCCGAAAAATATCTCTTGGCGGTGATTCATTTCATCCCACCAGAGAGGGCGTGCTCCCGGGTGACCTTGACACGCGTCGGTCGGTGCGTTTACGGCCGACGCCGATTTTTGACGGACCCTTAAGTGATATGCCACCGAGTAATCGTATCTCGGCCTCACGTTGCTCCCAAGATTGCTTCGCTTCATCCGCTGCGAATGCTGGATAGACCTAAACGGGCTCAAACATGTTGATAATAAGACACCGCCTGGTCTGCCTTAGCATGCTGTGAAAAACGTCTATACCTCGCGCTAATTAGAATTGTCGATGGCGTTCAATCTATAAATGGGCCAAACAGTCAAGTTTAAGACCGGATCTCTATTAGTTATTTTATGAATATACATTGATATTGCAAAAAATCTATGAATTTACAATGTACGTATAAAACTTGACATAAACTTACAATAAAATGAATACACAACACGCTCGATAAGGCGCTCCTCTCCTGTTCCGCTATCCACAATGAGGCAACCGTAAGAAATAATTATAATAACACGCCGCGGCAGATACAATGTTAATTAGTCCATTGTTCAGCAAAGTGAATAGATATCGGGTTGTACTGTAAGAAATCGAACGCATCGGATACAAAAAGTGGTGACGCACACACGCGCCCCGAAACAATGTTACGGGCGTCGGGAAGGTCGCGCGGGGCTATTAATAATATGGAATAAAAATATAATTACAATTATTCGGCATACGGCGGGGCCCCGGCATCGATGGCCCCGCCGAGGGGAACAATAAAATATACTTTAATTAGAAACGACTTGGAGCGGCGTGCAGTCGGCGGGCGGGCATCGACCCCGCTCATTGGGACACTCGCAGCAATCGATCATATTTCGCGGACGGACACGACACGACCGCGGCGCGGGAACGACGCGACACGCTGTCTTCCGTTGTATAAAATGTACCGTGCTAATCAGCCAGCCATTTGCTTTTAGTGTCACCATGTGTTACGCAGGAGATATTATGTAATGCACGAGCCGACATAATCATGGAAATGATTTGTTATTTCCACAGCTGTTGCCAAAATCAATGATAATACTTTTCTAGGTGGCAAAGTTCACTATAAGATTTTAGTGAACAGTAATTTTTAGTTATTAACGCGCCGTCTAGTTATTAATTCTAATCGATCTAATGCGCCCGCAACTGTGATAGAAGGATGACGACGAGTCGAAGACCGGTCGTGAGCACTAAACGCTACGTCCTTGCGCCAGCGACTGCACACTGTAACACTGTTGCCGTTTAAAAAACCCGCCGCGACACTTGCAGCCGTACTTTTTTTTTAATTAATTACTATTATGAATTCGAAATTTGCGGACGCGAGCGCCGCCTGGCTACTTAATATCAATCATTTTTTAAATAAAACTCGAGACGAGTTTCGTTTACTTTATTTATAGGACTCATATTGCTGGAGCGGGCGGCGGTCGCTGGAAAGTACGAATGCAGTTTTGTGTTTGATGTTGCTTCAGAGTAAATGTAAACAGTGATTTAGTAGGCAGTATTGTTAGTCGCCGCCTGCTGGTCAATTAGTTTGAGATCGCGAAATGCTAGCTATTTTAAGATGCCAATCGTATTACTGTACGCTCGTGTCCACATATCAATGCACTGTCGGGAGTTCATAGCCCTAGACGATTATGCGCGCGTCAGTAATCTATTAGGTATGTACAAACCATTTGAATGACGATATTAATTTAATAATAAAAACAAATCAAAATAACACCGGACATTCGAGTAATGACGTAAATATATGTATTAAACATATCTAATTTTACAAGTATTACTAAAGTAAATTTGCTGGAAGCAAAAAGAAATCTATTATATTTAATATAGTAAAATAAATCTATTGTATAATTACGATTGTTATTTGAACGTACTCAAAAGGTGGGCCTATGTCTAGATATCTGTCATGTTCTGGCACCTCTTTCCAAGATAGCGGAGTCGAAATCTAGTCCGATCTGGCTAGCGGCCCTGCTACATTGTAGTTGGCCAGTGGCCCCAAAGATAGGCACAACTAGGGGAGGGCCTGATGGGATTCCAGTTAAGCTACTACGCCCCGATCGAGCGGATGCAAATTAATTTTATTTTCGCTCAATAACACTTAGCGATAATCGATGCGCTTAAACCTGTTCTCGTAATGACGCGCGCAATTTGTTTGAGCGTTTGATGAACTCCGTGCAGAGCGACTTTTGAAATGCTCCACTTTTACTGTATGGTCTTAGCGAGACGAAGTAATGATTTCACTGATGCCTTTGTACGAATTTTGTATGGCTGATGCAGTTTAAAAACGTCGCGTCACCTAGAATTACAATGAGACTAATGATTGTAAAAGATACTAAATTAAAAACATTAAAATACCCGATGCTAAGTTAATAATGATTACTCTCCTTTTATAACATTATGGAAACTATATTCAGCTTTACACAGTATCGACAATGATGAATGCATCCCGATCGAACCCTTATAATTAACGCCGAGTATCAATCCTCGGAAATGTCTGAGGGAATTTGGCGGGAAACTCGAAACTTAAAAATGGCGTTGCCGCGCAAACTTCAGCGCTGCTGGCGAAGTTGGTGCACTCAAACTTTTGCAACTAATAAAGAGTAAATTGAAAAACAATTCCCGAACTGAAATTCCCCCTTCAGGCGTAGCGCCAACTATGCGCGGAGAATTCATTCGCGCTGCATACTTACGTCAAGTTATTTTATTACATGATATGAGCGTTGCTCCTAGTTACGTGGATATGTTGAGCCAGAGCTAACTCCGGTATATGAAGTACCGAGCTTAATTGTACGCGGGGCGACGGAATTTGTCTCGGGATAGTTTCGATATTCAAAGCACGAGTTGGCGGCAGGAGTAATGTTCGACTATGATATGCGTTGTACAAAATTCTACGTAAGAACAAACAGTTGATAACAAAGAATTTTAAAAAGCCCATCACTGTGAATCACCGAGATGTGAAAAATAAGCTAATTTGCCGCGTCCTCGGCCGATGAGCAAAACATCGCGAAGAAACGATAGCGAGATGAATCTCGACGAATTGACAAAAATATTTTTAGAATTAGACTAGCTGACACGGCAAACGTTGTTTTGCCTTATAAATTATTTGTGGGGTGGAAAAAAATGTTTGGGGTGGACCACCCTTAACATTTAGCGGGATGAAAAATAGGTGTTGTCCGATTCACCACCCTGGCCGATATGCACACAAAATTTCACGAAAATCGGTCGTGCCGTTTCGGAGGAATTCATTTACAAACACCGTGACACGAGAATTTAATATATTATATAATATTCACATATACGACTCAAGTACAAGTTATCAACTGGTACTCTCCAGTAAAGAAATCTGCGAGGTTTGACCTCGACTAGTAAGCTGTTGTCGCCTACAGGAAAAAAGTTCAAATGGCTCTTTGCCAGATATCATCCACTCGATTTAGGAAATGTGATTCAGTTGTGGGTTGGCATTTAATAGTGCTTTGGATTGTTAGCGAATATTCGTTCTATGTTATTGGCGTAAATAAGTGAAGGCCTACGAAAATTGAACTAAGTTGATTACTGTAATGCCAAACGATTGACGACGTTATATGATGATGCTGATATTACAGCTTAATTAAGCGGTGTGTTGCCTATAATTGCGGCTTCCTAAAATTTATTCAGCCCAAGCCAACGTTTGCAGGCAGCATTTCGCTTCAAATTCAGATAATATGACGCGCAATCCAACACGGGCCGTATAATTAAGATAATTAAGGGCGACCGTATCAAGAAAACAATAAATACGCGGACATTGTGGCTGATAATTACGATGACAACAATAACAAATTATAATTATTATTTACGGTAAGTTGCTCAAATCACATTAATGTCAATCAACCGCAAATGTCAGCTGTCAAAGTTACAAGGACAAATGCTTGTAAGTTTACAGCGATCTTGATCCGTATTTCATTAGACAGAGCAGTCTTAAAATTTAAGTGTAAGTTTGAATGGGAACACGAAACTTGACCGTGCGCGACGGTACGAAGGCAATTGAAACCGGGTATTACATTTATCCTAATTACAGAGAGGCAACATCACTCCCGCGGCTCGGCGCGGACGAATGAGTCAACGCTAGGCGGTACAAAGTCAAGGGCAGGGGAGCTGCACCGAATTCGTCGCTTGTCTACCTTATTGGAACGAGATACACGCGGCGAGTGCATATCTTAGCCCGGCGGGCGCAACGTTGGACACCCCCGATCCGTTGCAAAGAGCGTTGCATCTTTACTTTGAATTTCGGAATCCACTTTGGAACTTGCTTTCGGGCGTTTGACGATCACGCCATTTTCATAAACCTACTTACTGTGCAACAAACGTCACGTTACGAAGGAAAAGGCATTAGACATTAAGACATTTAATCCGACACTTCATCTGCACACATATTACATTTGGTTACAATGTTTATAATTACAAAATAACAAACTAAAAAAAATAAGCAAATAGGAAAAAAACAAGAGGAAAAAAAATAATAAGTTAAAGTAAAACAAAGAATAAAAATAAAAGAAATTTGTAAATAAGGATGTAGTGACGGAAAGGAATTAAATCTTCAAAGCGATTTAACGGGAAATTTCGATCGATATAATCTTGGGATTATCTTCAACATCGAGAAAAATGTATAGTGAGATGAGCTGTCTTCTCGTTCAGGTATTGTGTTCCTGTGAGATTTTCCCAGAGATCGTGAAAAATCGAGATAGTTCCACGCCCTTTTAAAAGTAAAACACGACGAGTTCTAAGAACGTTATAAAACAACCGGACGCGATTCAGTGTACTCGTCCGTGTGTATGTCCATACTCTTCAGCAATATTGTTTAAAGCTCATACTGTGCAATGTTATTTAAAGATGTGACCCAGTCTTTCGACCACAATCCCTCATACACCCACCCATAGGTTAACATACCCTCCGCACCAGACAACTTTAATTGATCGCATTGTATTAGACATAACCTTATATTAAACTGTTTCCTTAGCTCCGACGGTAATAAATGACGATACGGATTTATTCAAAGCCGACCGGCGCGCTCCGAATTGCGACCTTAACGGGTGACGATACGATCCGAATTGAATTGGAGCTCGTGTAAAATTTGCGATCTTACATTGATACGCGCAATCACCGAGTGTGGTACAAAGTTTCAAAACGAGCCACTCGTGTTGCCAGATTTGAAGCCTTGCAATTCAAACGATAAAGTTTACAATTATTTAAAGTCGATTGTCGCTTACGCCTATTTCATTTTTAGCCATTACCATTCCTTCGTCCGTAGCGACGAGGCACGGTGCACACGACGTGTTTTTATTTTTATTTTACCATTAAGTCTTTTTGAGAAAACCTGACGAACTGTAGAAAATGTATGATGATATGATATGCTTATGGTGGTTGTCTTCTTATGTTAGTTATTCTATTAATAAAAATCAAAATTTATAAAGAAACAAAAACAGTTTTGTAAGTTAAAGTTCTACTTAAAAAAATATTTATCCAAAGATATTCAAGGACAATATTAGCTACATCATTTTTTAATTTTTAGTAAAAACATTATTCAACTAACACCATAATGTCGACATGGAAATTATTAACATTATAAGTAAAAGGGATAAGTGTTAATTTGCTTCGTTTCAATCTAATTCATTCGTGACACTACCTGCTCATAATAACTTACCTCTATCTTACACCAAACTGCCAATATTGCATCTAATTGTAACAAAAATAAATTGAATAATATTATACTTTTTGTAAGCGTTACCTTTTTCAAATGAATAAAAATCACCACTTCTAGTATGGTTACTACAAAATTATCGACATATCAACAGTAACAATTCATAGTTAATTTCGTACGCAAGGAGAAAGCGTGAAATAGCGTAACGGTGGGACCACCGCAATTTCGCCGCGACCCGTACAATTACATTAAAAAAAATGAAACCGTCCCGACCACGGCCGTGTGGAACGGGCCCGACTCCCGCATACCTCGTTTGTTACGAGCCACATTATAATCACACATTGTATTGGATAATAAATAGAGAGAAAAAAAGCGACAATGGAAATAACAAGTCACAAACAGTCATCTAATAAATAAAATTGTGCCGCGTATAAAACATACGCTCGCCGGGCCCGCGCGCGCCGGGCCGCTGCCTCGTTTAATGGACGCCGCGGCTTATTTAGTATGGATACTTCCGCATGCGCTGCGACCTCGGCCCCATGGCCCAGTGGCGGTGGACGCCCGACTAGGGGCAAGCGCTTCGAACCCGTAGACCGTTCATAGCGCAAACACAACTCACAGCGTCAAGTCGATTGTTCGAGCTGATACCGGTCGCTCGTTTCACGGCCACCAGTGGCATATCTACGGGGACTCGCTTCCTCCTATAACGCTACATAAGACTCTTTCTCAATTTTGCTTTTGGGCGAGGCGCTCGTCACTAGCGCGCCCCTAAATCGCAACACCATTTTAGTATCAGAATATTAGATCGCGAACGACTCGTTTGCAAAGTTTCAACTGGCGGTGTGGTGCTCATCCGACCATTTCCAACTGTTGGAAAAGTACAAACCTTTTTCTCTACAAGTTTTAATTTTAAAGCACAAACCGACAAAGTATTGTATTTTGTGTGGTTGCTATGGCGTTATGGATTGGTTGCGCTTCACCACTTTAAAAATCGCTAATTGCGTCCTTGGGTCCACAAAAAGTCGTGCCTCTGCCAATATTCTATATGTAATTGTTTACACGATAGCAAATCGCAAAATAGAACCAACCCTCGTCATCATAATTTTATCAATCATCTAAAATGGTTAAATAAATAATTAATACTATTGTTACAACCAATTCAATTCAAACACGATAGATAGTACATTCCGTTTAAAGAAAATGGCGTCCACTTATAATTCAATATAATTGTGTGGAGTGCATAAAAAGTAGACATTGTTGCATGCGAGCAAATAAATTGCATTTTAAATACTACTAAAACATATACATCTGAACGCGATAAAATAATCAGTTGAAAGGTAATTATAAAAAACGCCACAATGGAACGATTTCCATTGCGGTCGGAGCAGATGGTGCACCCAAAGGCGCAACATTGTTACTAATTAACTTTATTATGTCACCAACTTATCTAGAATAAGAAAAACGACGCGTTTCGAAATAGGATTGGGTGGGGAGAGACAGTGACGATCGATTGTTTAACGCGGTGTCGTAAAAAAACCTTTACCGCGACCGTGTTGCCTAAACGGTCGAACGTGACGTTCGCCGCTGGCTGTCGAGTGGAGATTTCAAAAAAAAAAAATCTCCCATTCACGCACAAAGAGTGCGTAACGCGAGAGTGCGTTGCGAAATATCGAGCCACGGGGGCGGACGTTACAATGTAAATCCGTCGCTAGGCCCGAACGCCTCGGCTCGCCGAAATCCAACGGATCGATAGTTGGTGCGCAAACAAAGTTGGTTTCCATGCAGACGGTGCAGAGAGCTCGGTGGGCTCTTGTATTTTTAATATGCCCCCTCCCGGCACCCCCGTTTTAACATAATATAAAATTATAAACGACATGAATCACGATAATGCGGAGCGGGGCTGGCGGCCAATTCACAACTTCGCCGGGGCAGGCCCTAGCCTCCCCGCCCGCCGCCACCCCGTGCCCCTGGCGTACAGTGCAGCTACTGCCAGTGCGACCATTAACAGTTTTTAATATTAATATTGTATATTGTTCCCGGTAAGTAAATATATTCCCTTTCCTTTTCTTTCTTTAATATTGACTAATACACTAATACAATAACAATGCCACCGTAGCTTTGTTCGCCTATGAGCAAAATGACGATGTATAGTTATACTATACATCAGCTTTCTTAAATTAGTAGTCATGTATACTAAAATGTAATAAAAAAAATGTGTGCGTGTACTTTTAGCTTTGTATAATATTTAGTTTCTTATTTGTAATACATAGGTGGCGTTTGTAGTAAATTAAAACACACTATGGTTTGACCGTTGTAATTAGTATGAGGGTCCGCAAAAATTGTTGATTAAAAAACTTGCAACTTGCGTCCTTCGTTGCCGAAGTAGTGAGTAGAAGGCAGACATTCGACTCGCGCGCGAGTGTTGTGAGTTAAGTTTTTTTGGAAAACCGAACTTGCGGACGTTGGATCGACGTCGCAACCGCAACCGCAAATTCCAGGAGCCGATCGAGGCTTCGAAGAGCATCATCGGTCAGCTTCAGATTGTGTCTTCGGTGGAAGGCGCAGTCAGGTCACGGTGGGCGGTGCCTGCCTTTGGAGAAGAAGAAGTCTCTACAGTGTCGTGCTCTGAAGTATTATAGCTAGCACTGTCATTACTACAAATATTATTATTGAATTTCATTAATTGTAATTGAATTATTACTATCATTGATGTCGTTATTATATATTTGTGTTATTAATGGCTTATGTAACTGAAATACGAAATATATTGTTTACATTTTAGAATTAGAATTAAAATAAACCCTTTGATTTTGCTGATCACTTTAATATAACATATATATATAAATTGTTATGAACACCCAAAGGAACTAACGCCATCTAGCGTCAACTATTAAAACCACAACAACAAGATGGCGCGTAACGCAAAAATGTTACGCTAAATTTTTTTCCAACCCCGATAAAGAAGGTTCACTTCAAAAATAATGCATTAACCGTCTTAATCTTATTAGTCCTTAATCGAAATATTAATATGCGATGCAAATACTTTGGAACGAAGAAGAAGGAGCACAGAAAGCTAAAGGTTTTATACATTACAGTAATACTCTTTTGTACGAGTACAAGTACAAAAAATAAACAAATGAATAACATTCATTGTTTACATTCCTACTGTCCATGTCAAACACGTAATAAACTGTTGTCAAACAGTAGTCAAACAGTCGTGGAAACTGTTGCCAAGGAATTTTAATTTGTCAGATTGGCTGAATTAATCTGAGAAGAATAAAAATTCATTTAATTTAGAAATAATGAATCGATATTTTCGCATTACGAAGGAACGTGACGTAATTACGTAATAACGGCACTGCGTTTGTCCTACTGCACCGCCTACACTGTGGCAGCCACCCTGCGCAGCGGCGGCAAAAAGAAAAGTTTTATTTTTATAAGACAAGAAATTTATTATGGCTGATGCTCGTGTCGGTCTCGCGTATCTTCAGGAAAGGAGCGCGGAACGCGACGCGGCCGCTTACACAAGAACCCCTCCAAGCCGCCCTTAAAATGTACGGACTATTAGTGGATGGCGATCGATTGGATTAAGGTGAATGCTATGGGACTGTGCTGAAACGGCAGTTCCTTCGGATTTGCCCTCGAATCGAGAATTCCTAGTTCGAATCTCGAAGTTCGATTTACAATTCGGCTAGCTGCGCGACGATGGACCGTCGGAGCTCTAAACGGTCGCAGGTGGCATTTGAACGATGAACGAAAATCATCAATTGGCTTCGGCGTCGGGGGCCGTGGGTTCGATCCCCACACGGAACAATTATTTGTGTGACCCACAGATAGTTGTTTCGCATCTGGCGCGTGAAATTTGTCTTTGTAAAACGTCCTTATAAGACGATCCTAAAGTAAGGGCAATGTTTAAAAAAAAAAAAAAAAAAAAAAAAACGATTATTTAAGACAAGACAGTAACTGGAAACGGTGAGATTGTTTAAATATGATACAAATAGTTTAAGTATCATACATATATTGTGTATATAGTCATAAGCAATTTTCTTGGACCAATAAGGGGCGAAGGTTTGGCCCGTTCTGAACGTACTACTCAACAATAAATATCCCCAAAGGCACAGAACAATTTCTTTGGCGCCGCTCGTCAAAAGCCGCCTGCCAGGGTCGGCTAGCCATCGCTAAGTCAGTCTAAATCCTCCGCTTCTGTTTAATTTGACTTGTCCCACTTTCCACTTGGTCAGTGCTGGCGGGAAAAGCTTCTCTTGAACTTGTCCTAACTTCATAGAACTCGTCATAATTTTTCCATATTGTGCGTTAGTTTTCTTAAACATCAAGCATATCAAATCATCAATCAAATATTGTGGATCTTGAGATTGTATTCACGGTAAAAATACAACCAACAGACAAAAATAAAACCGATTCGACTCAAGAAAGCCTAATAAAACGGTGAACAATAAACTTTTCTAATTAATTGTATCGTGGACCAAGTTGGATCTATATCGGACATCTGGCAACCCTATACGTACGATAGCTACACTACAGAAATCGGGGGATGTCGTGCAGTATATAAAACGTCATGTGGAAATAAGAAATGCTCTTAGCTTCTTTATTTCAGTGAGATTGCTGAATTTTGTATGACGCGAATGATGCTTTAAAAGAGCGTTATGATGCAATATTTTGCCCCAACATATTATTATTGTGTGTCATTTGGCACGGCGTCGTTTAAATCCTGTTGGCTGCGTTCGGAAAAGGCGACATCTTCTGGTTGAATCCACGATTTAATGATTATACGAAAGCTAATTCACAACGAAAAAGCTTTCATCAACTACACTAACTCCATTAGACCGCTTGAGGTTTAAGTGCGTCAAAAAGATTCTAGTAACCGATATCCAATTCAGTACTTAAGGGCCAATTCTATCAAATATATGACGGAAAAGCTTAGTTGCGTTGTGACGTATATGAATTCTCAAAAAAGTGTACAATTAACAAAAACAGACATCGTTGAGCGCAATCTAAAATGGAGAAAACCCTGTTTTTATCACGCAAAATGAATTTACGACACAACAAACTATTTTGCTTGGAGATAACATATCTAATAAGAATGTTAATTAGCCTGTTTTTAAATAAATTACGTATTTTATTATGGTACAAAATTTTTAACGTAAAAAAACTTGATGAAAATGATAACATATCTCCCATTTAATTATGACAAATGTTTACAGTTTATGGAGATTAAGTAAAATGACCAAGGTGTCATTTGTAAGCACATGGTCAAGCACCAACAATAAGGCATTTGTACACGAATGCATATTGTACACAAATATGTAAGGCGAAATAAGATTTCATGGACGTAACGTATTTTGAGTATCGAATAATCTGATTATTAATATCGTATAAAATTTCGTTGTTTCTTCATTCAGCGGACTTGGTTTTTATATGGCTGGAGGCTGGACTTGATACGTGGTTTGACACAGGGTAATTTCCAGATGTGACACTTTTTTATCGTGAAAAGTTGTCGTCGCGGTTCACTCGGTATTATGTGAATTCCGCTGCCCACAGACATCTACAGATGAACTTTGCGAAGAAACTTGTGGACTTATTAAAACTGATTAGCGGGGGAAGAGTTTCGTAATGTGCCTTGAGATCGGCCGGAGAACATCCTTTAGAGGGCGTATAGTAGTTATATTTCAGTCGACACACGTAGTTTGTGAGTTCACCAGGTTGTATACGATGAAAAAAAACTAAAGCCTCATAATGGAGACGTGCTTACAATAAATATTCTCCCGCAGTCTTAACGACCGCCTTTAATGGCGTTATAGACATTTTAACATTTTCAACAAGAATATTACGGACAGTAGAAATAGTTGCAATTACCTCTAGCGCAACCACCGTGCTCACCGAACCAAGGCATTCTGTCAATATCAAACACCGTAACCAGCTTGCCCGTAAACGATGATAAAAAGTAAATTGCAAATATATTATCTGCACGGTGTGTCTGTTACAATTACAGCACACAGCAGTAACAACTTACGCATCGACGCAACATATGTGTGCAGTTTTTGATGTGTACGCGCACCGCCACACACAAGCGTGCACAAACAGTTCTCGAACACGAGCGATACGTTAATAAATTGCCCAAATCTCTCCTCGTTCTCCATCAACCAAACAAGCCGATCACCGCGAAACGGGTGCCGATATCAGGACATCGTAAAAGGGAAGGCGCTGTGCCGAAATCGACCGAACGTTCCCGAAAGGCGCCGAGGCGAACGGAGCCGCGGGCCGCATACATTGTCGGTAATTGCCGATGCCGCTATAATCTTATTTAATTGCGACTGCGCCATCGTGGCCGTTTTAATAATCCATTGTTAACATATTGAACTTCTTGATTTTACGCGTATAATATAATAAAATTGAATCCAAGAAACACCAATACTGCGCGATCTCACGATACCATAAGCCATGAGCTCCTTTTGCGTAGATCGGAATAAAAATAAACAACAAACTAATTGACGGTAGCCGGGGTTAACTGACATCAAAACGTGGAACAACTTACCTACACCCGGTTCCCATCCTTTTTTTCTTTTTTTATAAACATCGCCCTTACTGTAGGATAACATTAACAAATTTCACGTGGACAAACACCCAGATGCGAAACAACTATCTGTGTGTGGGTCACACGATAGCTGTCCCGTGTGGGGATCGAACCCACGACCCCCGACGCAGAAGCCTGCGCCACGGAGTCATCAAATTCTGATCATTAAGAAGATAATTTTGATCAATTCGGAGAGTTTCACCATCCTTGTGGCAATTTAAATAACATTTGAAAAGCCATTTGACAGCTGATTAGTTTACTTCTACGATGATCAGAAACAGGGCGTTAGTCTGTTCCGTGACCGCGAACCCTGGAAGGGGTCCGGAACGTTGGAAATTACAAAATCAAAACACAAACGCGATAAACTAAATTCATTTAATATTCATTGTTAACGTTAACACTCAATGAGGACTTGTCCCTGTGCGATGTGCAAACGGACACGGCCGGCCCGCTATACGTCGAATGTCTATGCGCACTCCGCGAGCAGAAACAGACATTAAGCGCCGCACACCACTCTACTATGACCCGCTAAAGAAATACAACTTTTACGTTTCAAAGTCATTAATTCTATTTGTGGCAGCCTGTGCGGATTCATAAGCGTGCATACTTTCTACTGATTGTCTTACAGCCATTACAACGAATGAAAATATGGCTGGACGATTAAAAAGAAACGAAGACGGAGCTACGACCTACCTCTATCCTATATTGATAGCAGATATATTTGAAATTGTATTTTATACAACTATTTTATAATATTTTTCCACCTTTCCCTTTACTTAATAATCGAACTTATTAAAAGAGCAATTAACGAATATAATAATATAAATTAAACAAATTTTACGGAGTAATCGCGTTTTCTTTTAATTATCGACGTTTCGAACCCTTTACGGCGTTCATGGTTACTTCATATGATCTTTTGGAAGAGTTGTTCGTAACGCACAAATGCAGCTGCGAACAAAATACCTAATTAATAATCTTAGGGAGGTATAAACACCCCGGGTTCGATCCTTGGATGGACTATTTAGGCCAAGAGCGGTTTCCCAAAAATAACCGTATTTCCGTACAGACATACTATGAACACGTATAACGGTGATGGGGGAAACCTTTGAACGGGTTTTAGGTGGCATCAGTGTTACCACCCCGTTGTTGTTCCGAAGTCACGGGCTCCGTTCGTTTTGCGTATGGTCGCACAAAGCATATTAATAATGCAGCGGTTGACTCGCAAAAACGGCCACCGAAATGGGTCGAGGGAAACGCGCGTGCGGCCAGAACAACGCGAAAGCGAACGGCCGTAAATTATTTCGCGTGGTGGTTAGTTAGGTGGGTGCGGCGTCGGCAACGCGAAACGCCGAAAAGTTGGTGGGAAACGAACGCCGGCGACGCCGTCGGAGTTTTTTGTTATTTTTATTATTACAACATTTTATTTATCATCCAAATCGGCGTTTACGACGGCGAACAATGCCGGGCCCCGGACCGAACAAAAGTGGGACGCAAATAAAGAAAACAATAAAATTAGAATACATAAACACATAAAACGGCGTCGGAGCGCTCGCGCTGCGGCCGCGCATGCGCTCGCAACACCGCACATTACGCCAAATAAATTAAAATCAGCGCCCGCCGCGCCTCCCCCCCCCTCCCCCCCCCCCCCCCCCCCCCCTTCCTCGGCTCCCCCGCGCCCCCGCCCCTCCGACACCACTTTTTTAATAACCGCCAAGGCAGCCAAACACATTCGGCCTATTCATCCATTACGACAGAATGGCACATGCTAGTTTTCGATCCGGAAACATGACACCTTGCACGCATTCCTGTTGCAGGGTGAAAAATTAGACGAACAAAATTAGCGAAAACGATAAACACACAATGGTCTGTCAGTGTGTATTTCCGAATTGAATTTGTTTTTAATAACGCTCAATAAGATTCGACGCTATTTATCCTCTAAACCGTGTCGCCGACAAAACGAATGCAGTTCGGCGCGCCGTTAACTAATTGATTACAA